CCAATTTTATAAATAAATTATAAATAAAAATAGTTGCCAGGGGACTGAGTTTTGAAGTGGCCCAGACACATACTTCCAGTACAAACGGTGCTTTAACACTAAATAAAATGACGAAAAAGCGCTAACAGCCTTATAGTTATTAACTCAAGGCTAGTTAGGTCCTTATAAACCTTACAAAAGGTAAAATAACACACTGGATTTTTTTTTTGGCTTTGAACTTCTGGCAGGGGACTGTTCTTAAAATGCCTGGGAAAAACTTTGGTTTAATGAATTTAATAAAAACAATTTAATTTTCGGTACTTTTTATTGAAGAAGATTGTTAGTTAAATAATTAAGTTCACAAACATTATGGACCAAATTATATATTATGCACGAATAACTTAAAATTGAATCTTAAAGTTTTAATTTTGGGAATGAGACAGCCTAGGGGACTGTTATTTCGGTGGTTTACAAATTTATAGCAAAAAAACCAAAATTTATTTCAATTTAGTTTTCAATGCTCCAAATAGAAATGTTTTTTTACTTTCGTAATAAATTTTTTTTAGTAACAAAATAACAATTTTTCTAATAAAAAAATGTCTGGGACAGTAAAAAACATCCTTACAGAGAATCACCCATACGCGCAAATTTTTATTTTAAATATAATTAAGAATTGATCGATAGTTACGTACTGGATATATAATTAAATTACTAGATTTTTGGAATCACGTTGCGCAGCCTGGCCGATATTTGGTTCCTTTATCCTAATTATGAAACAATTAATGCTAAGAGAAAAAAAAAATAAAGAAAAGTCTTTGTTCTTTGAACATAGGTAACATTTATTGAGGATAAACAATTTTACATTGAAAAAGGACACTTGGAATAGCAGCCATTAGCAGGATTATTTTTCCTTATTTTTGTTATTGTTATCAAGATATACATATACATTAAATTGAATTATTAATCATTAATCGCTATACATCAATACTACTATCACTATTGTTCATTACTTCCATTTTTCAATTCAAATAATTATTGTTATTATTTTAAATGTTATTATAATTATAAATTATCATATACCCATAAGTTATTACAATAATGATTTATCAGCAGTCATTATAAATTGCATCTAAATTTTTGGTTGCAATTACAATCAGTTCAATTTAATGATTAGAAATTTCTTCTTTGTATTCTCATACATTTCGCGATTTACAAACAATACGAGTATTAAATATAATTATATACTTAAAGTAATTAAATTTAGAGAGCAATATTCAATTTAAAAATTAAATTAAAAAAAAAAAAAAAAAAAACACATTTTCAATTAGAAAAAAATAATACTAGAGTCAAGTGCATAAAATAATTTTATCTTAATTAAAATCTAGGGCTACTTTCAAGCGTTTAATTTTTTTGAGCATAGATCTATAAGTTTTGAATATTTTAAGTATTCAATGCAATTGACTTTAATCTATCTAATGAATTTTATTTAATAATAAATAAAAAAAAATTAATCGGATAAATAAAATTAATATTATTTAAAGCAAATTTATAAATTATCCAGCCTTTTCTATTAATTTCTATTTTATAATTTAAACTATTAATTGATGGTTTGTTATTATTATTAGATAATGTCGTACGTACTGTAAGAAGCACGGTAGGTACATTATTGACATGTATTTTATATATATATTTTTTTTTAAGACGGAGTTTCATTATAATTAAATGTGGTTCTTTAAATTCTATCACTATTAGGTACACTTTTTATCATTATTTTTTTATGACAATAATCGTTGTATAAGGATTTACATTTTTTTTTTTTATTTTATTCATTTTTTTTTCTAAGCAATTGGAAGGATAAATTATTTTTTCTAACACAGCCTATTTAAAATTAATTTATAATTATAATTATATTTAAGAAACTGCGCTTTTAATTAAAATTAAATAAGTACTGAATTATAATTGTCAGAAAAAATTATTTAGGCGAAGAAAATTTTACAAATTTTTTTTTTAGTAGCGAAAATTTAAAGCGTGAATAATTAAGCACATATATTCGTTTCAAGAACTTATATTTTTTTTATAGAAAATTATATGACATAACTTAAAAGTAAAGTTCTCAAAATTGCCAACAGGCGCTGTTCTTGGCGCGAATAAATTCGAAAAATTTAAAGCACGTTAATCAAAGTTTTTTTTTTTATTAATTTTAAATTGATTTATATTAATAAAAAAAACGTGCGTTAAAAAAAAAGCAAAAAATAAATCAAAAATAGAGAAATAAAGTTCTCAGAATTGATCAAAAGATGATAAAAACGCATTGAAAAAAAATATTATCGAAGTAAAATTGTATTTACAATTATAATTTTAAAGTGTGCAGTCAATTAATCACACGTTAAATTTAATCAGTTTTAAAAATGAATTAATTAATCGATTTTGTTGGTAAAAATTACAATAATTATTAATTAAATAAAATAATTCAATTCTCATCGCAAATATTTTTGTGATATGTCTGACAAAATATCAACCTAGTTTTAAAAATTAACATTGTTATTGATTATTAATTAAGACTTACACGTGCTTCTTACCCTAAAAATTACTAATTTGCACTACCCATTTCTCTAAAGTTTTAGATAATATAATATCCACATATATATTTTTATATTCAATAAGACAGTAGGATATTCAACGTTAATATAATTGTTAATTGATATAATAATAAAATTACAGTATTAAATATTAATAATAATTATCATTATTATTTTTTTTAAATACCAGACTTTTAATTTCACATTGAGCCATCTATAATGCGACTAAAGTGGAAGCCGAAGCTACCAAAAAACATTTTATTTATTTAATAATTATTATTATAATATCATTCCATTCACTTTGTTTTTTACTTTCTAGTCAAATAAAGTATTTTATAATTTATTATTTTATAATAAATAAGTGCGTTTTATCTTTCAATTATCAAAAAGAATTCATTAAAATAATTTTAAATAATTGGTCGATGTACGATTTCTCGCCTTATAAAAATTTATGGATATGCTTTAATAAAATTATTTTTTTCTAAATCAATGATTAGTTAAAAAAAAAAATTATTACTATTTCAATTAAATTAAAAAAATAAAATTGAAATAAAATAATAAATTTTCTCGTTTACAATTAAAGGGATTACTACATTTATTTTTTTTAGTAATAAATTGTATGATATAGTATCACATGCAATTGAATTTTTATATAGGATTGTCGGACACATATTTGTTAATTTATATTTATAATTATTATGTTTATCAATTTTAATATAATTATTTTCAATGCAAACTGTAATCTATGTGCATGAGATTCTAGCACTCAATTCGATATATAATTTATTTATTTATTTAAAATCTTGGACTGTTTTTTTTCTATTCAATGCAGTCTATTATAACCAGCTATCCAATTCTACATTTATAATCAATTAATATAAGCTTTATTATGAACGGAATAGGCGATATATTTTTAATTATTTATTTTACACGATCAAACTTTGTATTTAAAGTTTATAACTATCAGGTCATATTCAATTATAATTTATGCATTACTACATTTACGAAAAAGAAATTATTTTTGTCAAAGGATTCAATGACTTTGGTTTTTTTTTTTTTTTTTTAGGCGTAGTTTAGTTGGCATTTAAAAGTTATCACAGTTAATAATAAACAAAAAATAAATTAAATTTTTTTTTTAAACTTAAGTAAACAAAAAAGTTTTGATTTTATGGACGAATGCAAGAAGGGCATTACAATAGGCATCTGTTTTAATAGGCATAGCACATAGCTTAAATTATTATTAATTAATATGATATTCGGTAAAAAATCTACAAGAAAATTTTATTTATCAAAGTCGATAGGAAATTACTCTAAGTTTCAGTTTTTTAAAGCCATCCTCAGACTAAGTCCCCACTTTTTTAATTTATTTTTTTTAACAACCCGAAAAAGTTGTGAATTTATTAAAATAACATTAAATTAAAATAAAAAATAAAAAGAATAATTAAAAACACTTTTATAATGCAATCAGATCATTTTTGCTTAAGAAGATCAGTCGACAACAAGATGGTGGATGAAAATTCGAAATGGCGGACTTTGAGGTTAGAATTTATTAAAACTGCAAAATGATAAAAATTTTAAGTTTTTTCTTATGAAAAAAAATTGTTTAAAAAAGGTTATTATGTTAAATTAATAAAAAAAGTCAGGAATAATGTCTGAGAACGCTCTGAAGAGCCAAAATATGAAAATAAAAAATAAGAATAAAATTCTAGCGTTTTTAAAAATCTCTAGACGGGTCACACACACTTACACACGTGAGGAAGGCCACATTAAACTATTCTAAAGAGACAACATCATTGTAATAATAATTAATCATTATTAAATATTAAATATATTTATCGTTTGCTAATTAGCAAAAAAAGCTACCGTCTAATAGCCATTTTATTATTTAATGTTTATTAATTAACTAAAGCCATTTACTTTCGTTTATTTATTTTTTTTCAATTGTAAAATCCATTAGGATTAGGATTTATTTTTTTGGAAGATTTTATTGTGCATTTTTAATAAGTTTTAGCGATGCTTACTAGCACCATTAACTAATACTTGATTGAGGTATTGTAGAATTACGACTGAAGAATCAAATAAAAGTGTTTATATTAATTAATTGATAGTTAAATTAATTTAATTAAACACTGTTCCCAATATGGACGCAATTGTGAGCAGATTGTTGCAATTTAACATAGATATTGTAAAGAAGAATTGAGCTTTTGTTTATCGTTGATATTTTTTATTATAAATATTAATATTATTATTAGTAAAATGCTTTTTTATTAGCTAGTGTTTCTGATTGGATTTTATTTGCTAAGTTGTAGAAAGTGATGTACTATTACCGTCTGTTTGTGGTGATGCTGAGGCTGACGATGAAGATAATGATGCTACTGATTCCTTGGTAATTACAGTCAGTATTACGTCAGTTGAAGTTTCGATTATTTTCTTCTCGAGATCTTTATTTTGTAGCAAAGTTGATTGCATTGCGTTGAACATTGCTGAGCGTGCTAAACGTGCTGCGCGTGTTAGTTCTCTGATACTTTCTGCCAGGATTATTATGTCTGAAAAATTAAAAATTTTTTAGTAAAATGGAATAATAAGAAATTTTAATTAAAAATTGTAAAGTAAAACACCAAGTACTTGAACAGACTTTTCGAATTGTTGTAATACAAAATCCGTATATTTATCTATGCTATTTTCTTCGTGAAAAAGGTACTAAACCATAAACCGAACAACCAGTAAAAAAAAAAACGGTATATCATTATTTTAAGTAAAAAAAATTTTAAGATAAAAGCCCCAATAGGTGATCATGTACCAGTATATGATCACACCATGTATTTGTATATCTATATTCACAAATATAGTGATCATATACTGGTACATGGTCATCTATTGGGGCTTTTACCTTACCACCCAATGAAATAGTCTTTTCTAAATAATAAATTTTTTTGCAAAGACATAAACTATCATTTTTATATTAAATTTTAGCGTCTAACTATGCCTCCAAATTTTTAAAGCGGTACCCAGAACTTGAACAAGCTGGGGTCGTATAATTTTAACAGCTCTCTAATAAGTTTATGGACTAATGATCAACATTGTGATTTGTATTAATTACTGCAAATTAAATAAGTTTTATAACTTGAAATTAGTGTAGTTAAAAATTATTGAACGTTTTGAATTGAGTTTTTTTGATTTATAATTGAAAATTTCCTTTGTCATTCATAAAAAATGTAATTAAAAAATTAAATACAAATATTTCGCATTTTTAAATGAACATATTAAATATTCATAGTATTATTTTTAATATTAATCAATAACATGTTATAATTCTTTTGATATTTCAATAAAACGTTGAAAATTTTTGCTGTGTCTATTGCCATACATTTTATTAGTTCAACTACTGCCCCCGGAGTGTTCAACTACTACTCCTTTTATAGTCTATCTTAAAAACGTTGTCAAAATATAAATATTCAATTATCTGCGTTATTTTGGGCTTCAATCAATTCCAAATTGTTTATATTTTCATATAAATCACTAATTTGAACTAATAATTACATATTTATATATTAAAATACATACAATGAATTTCGATCAAAGTGTTACAAGTTTTTTGTCGATAAAGACGTTATATAATTGTCATTACATTACTGTTTAAATTACTAATTATTTATATTTAGACTTATATTTTTTCATCTCTTTTGTTTTATGATCTAGAGTCATGAAATTAATTACTTTGATGGACTTTGTTTTGAAACGGCGTTATTTATTTTTACTTCATTATTATCATTTCCATTACTATTTATAACTTTTATTATTATTATTATGTATTAATTTATATGTAAGGCCCTTAGGGAGCTAAGGTTTCAGGGTCTAAAATTTTGATAAATAAATAAATAAAATTAGGGTCAAATACGTTTGACTTTGAAACCTGATCGACTACTGGGTACTTTACCATAGTCAATTATAATTTTTGATTTTTCTTCTATAATTTTTCAATTTTTAGTAAAATAAAAAATTTTTAGTTAAAAATTTACAGCTGATTATTATTTTCAATTTTACTTCTGCAATTATTCAATTTATAAAAAATTAAAAAAAAATGAAAATTTTACTAATTAAATAAAAATAAAAATCGTTAATTAATAATTGTAGTCAATTGCTATTTTTAATTTTTCAATTCACAAAAAATGAAAACAATTTTCAGTAAAATAAAGAAATAAAAATCTTTAAGGAGTCATTTTGGTTTGTTACTTTTAAAAAAAAATTTTTTTTTAATTTTTTCAAAAGTACATATATATATTTAAAAGGATTGCGTCAAAATTTTTAAGTGATCGGCCCACTGTAACTATAATATTTTACCATGTTTATATGGATGTTCGAATGAAAAAAAAAATCAAATTTTTTACAAGGCTAAAGAGATTTTGTGTGGTGCCGGCATCGTTGATTGACTTTAGGTAAAATTTTTTTTTTTTAATTAAAAAAACTTTAAACTCGTTTATCTCAGAACTATGTTTTTCTGGATGACGTAAATGATATCTCCAGAATCACTGACCCAATCGTAATGAAATTGAAACCACATATTCTACATAGTAGTAGCTATTGCATTAGCTACAACCGATTCAAAATTTTGATATTTACAATTTTATTAGGACTAAAAACTGTGAAAAAAAGCCGCGTTCTTCAGTTTTTTCATGTCCGCAATTTTGTTATTTATTAATTAATATTAATCTCCGTAGCTGGTGCAATAACTACTCATATATTGAAGGTAAATAAATTTGGTTCTTGTGTTTCAGATGAGCCGTTATCAAGTTACCATGTACGTCAGCGACATACCAACGTTTTGGAAGAGTCCGTTCACCCGTAGTTTATTTATATAAAAAATTTAATTGAGATATTTTTTGTGTTATACAAAAGTGTATTTGTTGAGCTAAATAAATTTTATATTAATATCTATAATATTTATTAAGGAACCAGAATAACCCCTTAATTAAAAATTGTAGCCCACTGTTATTTTTTATTTTTCTTCTGCAATTTTTCAATTTATTAAAAATTAAAATTCAGGTTTATCTACATCTAACTTATCGATAATTGATGGTATAACATGCTAAAGCTTTTAAAATTTTGAATTAAATCATTTAATATTAACTAGTAGGTCATACCTACTAAGTGATTTAAATTTTAAATGAAACTTTTCTGTCTATTGAGTATTCATTCGAAGCTCGATAAATTATTCATCTTCAATATAGATTTTATAAGAAAAAAAACTTCGACAGAAATATTTTTCATTATGTTATTGTTACAGGTGATAGAGCTTAATATCCACGGCCACGACTCTAATTCCCATGAGATGTAATATTTACGACTATCATAAGTACGAAACATAAAACCCGGGCTTAAAGAGCTAAAGTCAAAATAAATATTTATTAGATTTTTAAGATATTAAAGTATTTCTATCAGGAAAATTATTTTTTTTTTACTCAAGAAAATAAAATTTAGATTTTATTTACCCAACGAAAAATTTAATATTTAACTTTATAAAATATCAAACTGAACTTTTTATATATATAGGTAACGCTAATGGTAAAAATTTGTGAACTTTACCTCCTATAAATTACATATAATTTTCTATAAAAAAAAAATGTGAGTGTAAATTATGCTCAATGCTGAAATAATACATTTTTTTTTTAAATTAAATTTTTATGAAATTTTACTAGACAATTCCCATAATAAAATTTTACAAAATTATAAAATTTTTTATAGAATTCTAATTTTTTAAAACCCCACAACATTTTATTAATTTCATAATACAACAGATACAATGATTTTATAAAATTTAAATTTAAAATTAAAAATCGTGAAAAATTCATGATGTTTGTTACACAATTCTTTTCTCCAAAAATTATACTCTCAAAATTCCCAAAAAAGTCCATTAAAATTATTCTTTTCAAATGAATAATAAAGATTAAAAACTAATCTACATAATTAAGAGAATAAAGAAAATTTTATCTCCCGTGTATTTATATGATAAAATTAGTTTTTTAATTGAATTTAGTATCATAGGAAAGGTCATGATCTGAATTTAAGCTTCTTTAATGTTTCATATGATTTTTAACAATAGTTAATTTATTATAACTCTTCAAAGTTATTCTAAATAGATTCGAATGTTGCGATAAACGTCATTCGTTTATTTATTTATTTTATTTTGTACACGTGAACGAAGTTATTGGTCAAAAATTAATTTTTATAATTCAGAGACCAAAGAAAATTTTGTGACGAGCAGATTATTATTTAGAAAGAAATTTTTATAGTTAAATTTGGTATTATCAGAAAAGTCTTGATAAGAATCTGTGCCATTTTACGGTTTTATACATTTTTCAGTAATAGTTAATTTTTTATGTTAAGTTTTTGGAGGAGTTTTGAATAGTTTGTTGGTTTTATAAATTTATTCCATCCCACTCGTCTATTAAAATTTTTGTAATTTATTCTGTTATGGCACTATTATATTCAAAATGTATTCAATAAATACTCAAACTATGTATAGTGTGATTAGAAATATTAAAAAATAATCAAGCCAAAGTTTTCTTATCAATAATCCGTAAATTTCGGTAGTCACATAATGACTGCAGGTTACTATTTTTTATTTAAAAAAAGAAAAAAAAACCTCATACCTTTGTCATCATGAATAGGACTGCAATGTGGATTTTCTTTTTGTCTTTTAGTGGCATGAGTTATTTCCTTTTTCCTGCACTCTTGAACGAATTTAATCGATTCTAGCCAAAATTCCATCGCTTTGTGGACTCTCTCGTTCATAGTAACGCCGCGTAAATGCTCCATCTACAAAACAAAAAAAAAATCAACCTTAAAATAAATTCTCTTCCTCAATAACAATCAGCTAAAACTAATTACATCATAAAATTACCTTAGCAATGAGAGTAATAACTCGAGCATGTTCTCTCAAATGATCAATAATAAGTCTATCAGCTCTCGATGGATTACCCTGTAACCTCGGCACTGGAATATTATTAGCACTAGTAACTCTTTTCCCAGGGAAATGAGCAGCGAGTCCAGCCTCGCATTTCTTCCTTTCTTTTTCCAGCTGTTTGAATTGATCAAACGTCTGCTCTAATCTTAAGTGCAATACACTTGATGCTCCAGCGCGTCTAGCTTTGATCCCACGCAACCCAATGCCAGCGTTGATAATCCCATTGATTGGCTGGACCAGAGGGACTGATAGCATTGACGGATAAATACTCGGAGCACTGGCTCCAGCAGAACCACTGACAGAAGTATTGGCTCTAATTAATCTAGCGTTCATCAGCATGTCCGGCATCCTCATTGGTTGCGATTGTTGTTGTTGTTGTTGTTGTTGTTGCTGCTGTTGTTGTTGTTGTTGTTGCTGTTGCTGTTGTTGCTGTTTTATGATAGAATGCAATAAATTCGGATCGACGTTGCGTAATTGAGCTGCTAAATTACTGTAATTGATAGACCCAACTGCAGAATCATTTCGATTATCATAATTATGATTATTAACAGTTGGATTCAATGTTTTAGATACATTATTTTGATAAGAATTATTGTTAATCATCGACAATGTATTATTAATAGTAGAACTTGATTTCAAGTCAGTATTATTGGCAGTGTAACGTTGTGGATAATTTTGTTCAATATTTAATGGATAATTGTATTTATTTAATTGGTCCATTGTTATTGGTTGAGTAGTACCTTGCCCATTAATACGAGTGAGACGATATGGATAGCAATTTTGACCTGGATTTAAATAATTTTGATGATTTGGTAGTTGATTTTGATGACTCGGTAATTGATTATGATGATTAGAAAAATTTTGATGGTTCAGACCGTGATTTTGATGATCTTTTATCTTAATTGTTGATGTTGCGAACATTTTAACTAACTGATCGTCAATTTTTTGATTAACTGCCATTGATTTAAATTCATGATCATTATCATGATAATTGTTTATGTAATCAGTCCGTGTCTTGTAATCGTAGTCCAGTTTATCGAAATTTTTTAGCCCAGAATTGGACATCAGGGATGACGTTGCTAAATTTTGAGAATTAATAGGATCGTCGTAGCGGTATGATGAAAAATGGTTAAAATCTGGCGACAAGTGCTGAGTTTGCAGCGGAGAGTTTGATAAAAATCCAGAGTCTGTTGAAAAATCAGTCATTGCAGAACCGGGCCGGTGGTAAGATTGATTTGTATTGTTGAAGTCTTGGATATTTATCAGCGAAGCTCCACTTGCTGGGTGACTTAAATCTTGATGGTCATGCAAAGTTGAGGCAGAAGGCGAGATTGTGTTGAAATTTAAATCGTGACACGGAAACTGTTGGTAACTGTCAAACGGGTCCTCGAAGTCTGTCCAAGGAGTCTGGTGGGACTGCGATGGAGGTTGATATTGAGGCTGAGGCTGAGACTGAGACTGAGGTTGAGGTTGATGTTGAACTTGGAGCCCGCTTGCTGTGAACTTTGAAGATATAAAATCGTCGTTGTACGCAGTTACGTTCTTGAACTGACTGTTGACATTGAAGGTGTCTTGAGACACCAGATCGTTGATGCAAAGTGACTCTAAGTTCGAGTAAATGTCCAAGATGTCCCGGTTTTCTGGCTGATTCTGGATGTAGCGATACTGAGACTCGTAATTTGAATTTGAACTTCCATTTTTAAAGTAAGAACTCTGGCTCTGGGGTTTTAGTAAATCTAGATCGTGGTACTGATTGAGGTTGTAGTTGTAGATTGGTTGGTCTGTTGCCGGATCGTCGGCAAGAACTTTTGACACCAAGTCATTTACCATGCTGTTGTTTAAGTCTTGTGTCTCTTCATCCTCCACCTGTATCATAAATATTTTAAATAACAGGCGTGTACTCAATGAAAAGAAAAATAAATAAAATTATTATGCTTGAATTAAACATTTGATAATTTAAAAAATATTTGTTAGAAAATTAAAAACAAAAATGCAACTGTTTAAAAATATTTTTACTGTTAAAATTTTTTTCTTATATTTAAAATTAAGAATGTTGAATTTTTTATCATTTTAAAATACATTTTTTAACCAAAAAATTTATGATTTTTTATAGTAGTTTTTAAAATTTAGGGTAATTATTTACAAGTGGGGTCAAACCCCTTTGTAGACCATAACTAGGTGAATAATTGACATTTTCAATTTTTTTTTATTCTGCTTGTTTTTACGGCGGATTTATGATAAAAAATGACATGAAAGAAAAAAATAAAGATTTCGATAGCTTTTTTGCCTACAAAAGTTGGAGTAAATTTTGGCTCTTATGTTTTTGGATAAAATTTTTATTTGATCTTTTTCTGATATTTTTGATATATATTTTTTTAAAAAGTACTTAAAAAAACGAACAATTTAAAAAAAAAAGTTGAATATCACAATTTTCTAAGAAATTTATAAATTTTTTTGAAAATTTGTTGAAATAGTGATAATCAACTTTTTTTTTTAATTTTTTATGTATTTTCCAAAAAAAAAAATATATCAATAAAATCAAATAGAAATTTCGTTAAAAAAATAAAAATTAAAATGGTGACTCCACTTGTAAATATTTACCAAATTTAATTATTTATTTTATCTGATAAAATCACCTACACAAACAAATTATTGACAACTTGACAAGCTGATCTAATCAGTGAGAATTATTGACGACCATAATCAAAAGTCACAAACTTTCTGACCTAAATATAATTATCAAAAATATTTATTTATTATTTAAATCATTTTTAATATTTTAATAATAATCAAAAATAAAAAAAAATTAGACATCACACTGTCTAAACTTATTGTTAATATGACGCAAATTCTATAAAACAATTATTGAAATCCATTATTTTAAAATTAAAAACCTTAAACTTGTGAACTTCTAATATTATTGATTTTTCATTATTTTTATAGAGTATAAAATTTGAATAGATGAAATTAGTAATTAAAAATGAGCTTTTTATTGAAGTTTGCCTCCAAAATAGTTAATTTTTTTTTTTTAATTAATTAATATTTTATATACTTCACAACTATTAATTTTTTTCAGTTCTTCTAATTATAAAGTTTGTAAAAAAAAAGAAACAATTGTGATTAAATAATTATTGAAATAAAATAGGGTGTCAATGATTGACACCTTTACCTCAATTTATTTCTGTCAATTGTCAGATTTCAGTGTCATAAAAAACAGCTTACCTTGTGAATAGTATTCCGACTCATCAAATCGTAATTCCATGGATTATACTCCCGGCATCTATTTGTGTCTGATATGCAATTATTTCCTGATGTGTCGTACATATTGATATCACTTTTAATCTGCACAAAAAAACAAATATTTAATATGAATAACTAATAAGCATAAAAATTATAGTAAAAATAAAAAAGGTCAAAAAGAAAAAAAAATTGGGAACAATTTTTATCAGCTACCTTTTCATTAGAATTATTTCCGAGAATTGACGTAAAATTTTGTACCTTGGAGAGAGCCATAATTTAAAATATTGTTAGATATTTACGATTACATTCTGAGAATTTTAATTTTTGCTAAAACTGTCAGCAGTCACCAGTAACTTATACACTAAGTACTTTTGAGATTAATAATGATCTTTTTGACAGAGAACGATCATAGTTTTTTTTTTTATATTATGTCCATGTATTATATATGATAGGGAACTAAGTAGTTTGTCTATGTAATGTATTGGGTTCAGTTCGGTTCGCGACGAGAGTACTCGCAGACTCAGTCGACTCTGGTGTCTGCTGCGCCTGACCCTTCTTTGTCTCGCTTACACTTTCAGTGTACATTACGTAGTTCGTGCTCTGTTTAGTTTTTTTTTTTATCAACGAGCGAGTGAGCTGTACTTTTACGCTCTCTGTCGAATACATCGGAAAAACATAATTCATTGCATTGATGCTTTAATGGATTCTATAAATCTAGATAAATTTTGCGAGTTTTTGATTTTTTATTAAAATTTTTATGATATAAAAAAATTTTTGTTTTTTGTAATTTATTGCTTCTTAATAAAGAAACTAATTGTTTAATGAAAATTTAGAAATTTTCAATTGGAAATTTTTGATTTTAATTAATTTAATTTAAAGATGTTTTTTTTTTTTTAATTTTAGACTTTAGAAAATTAAAAAAAAAAAATTTTTGATCCAATTTTTAAAAAATTGAATTTTATAAAAAATAAAAAATTTTATCAAAAATCGTTTGCAGCTAATTAAAATAAATACAAATTTTTTAATAATATACTTTTTTAAATGAAGCAGTTAGAAATTTTTTTGGCAATGAACGAATTTTATTTTTAGGAATTTTTTATTAATTTATTAATGAAAAATTAGAGTACAATTTTTTTAGAGCAAATTATAAATTTCTAATAAAATATAAAAAATTTCTAAAAAAAAATTTAACTATTTTCAAAAGAGTTCGATGAAATTAAATAAAATTACAATACAATACAAAATTTTTTTTAAATAAAATATGAATTAAAATTCTTTAAAATAATTTCTTTGTGTTCAATTATTTATTAATTAAAATAAAAAAATGACCAAGTATCTGCGGACTTCAATGTTAGTGAAATGAAGAAATTAAAAATTGATTAATTTAATTTATTTTTTCTACAAATTTAATCTGGATAAATTGTCTTTGATTAATCCATGATTCTTCTTTTAATACTTTGTTAAGTATTTTTAATATTAATTTATTTTTAAAATCAAATAAGATTTTTTTTTCTTTTTTTTTTTTTTTTTTTTTTTTTTTGTAAAAAAAAAATATTTTTTCAATTTCAAGATAAAATTTCTCAAACTTAAAAAATTAATATAAAATTTATTTGTAAATTTACTTACAAATGAATAAGTCATAAAAATAGAAATTAAACAATTGTTTTTGTTAAAAAATGTTTGTTGACTTTTTAAAAAATTAAAAAAAAAAAAATTTATTTAATTCGTTTGTTTAAAAAATCAAAAATAATTTCTCGTTTTTGTCAACAATAATTTTTTAAAGCCACTAAATTTTTTGCAATTCAATAGAATTCACTCAATTTGTCTGCTACTTTCACAGCTACCAATAAAGTAAATTTTTATTTCAATTAAAAAAAAATATTATTGTTTTTTAATCTCAATTATTATTTAAAATAAAAAAGAATTAACTAGAAAAAAACAATATGTAAAATAAAACAAATGAGATTTTTTATTTGTTGACAATTCTTAGAACTATTGTACTGAGAGTCATTTTATAACGTACCATTTCTTCCTGGAATACGCCGAGCCTTTTTTTCTAGTTAAAAAACTCGATACTTTTAATCCGCGAAATATCGCTGAAAGAAATAAGTAATAAATTACAATATCGTCCATTATAATTAATAAAAAAATGTAGTAAATGTTTATAAAAAAAAAAAAATATTAAACAAATTAAATTGATAGATATGAAGATACTTACAGACTTACACGCATAACCAATTGATTATTAATTAACGATTTAATAATTGATAATTCCGTTTTCGAATTTATTAAAAAAATATTTGATTTATAAATAATTAAAAATTTATTATTATGATTAAACACTGGTAAAAATAAAAACGATTGAATTACTCACTTTAACAATTAAAATAAAAATGTATTATTGTTATTGATAAATATTAAAATTATTTTTAAAAAGACTTATTTATTAAAATCAAAAATTTGACACGGTTCTGCCACTTAAGATCTGACGTGCTTAGACGCGTTTTATGTAAGACAGACCACGGACAACTGGCGAGCTCACGAGCTAGTACCGGTAAAAAAACAATAGAATTTTGGTGGCCGGAAATTTTACTCACGACCGCCATCATCGTTGCGCGGCAAACTTTATGCGCATGCGCAGAAAGCAACTGCGTATTAGCGGGTAAAAATTTAAATTCAAATTTCAAAAATTTTCAATGATTAAAAAAATTAAATAAGTCTTAATTAGTTTAAAACAAAACAATTTTCCTTTATTAATTTATAATAAAAAAAGTGATTTGAAATTTAAAATAAAATTTATTTAACAACTTCGATACGAACTTCAAGATATTTACTATAAATATTTGTCTTTTTAAATTACTTCACTGTATTGCAAGTTTAAGTTTTCGCATACAAAATAAGTAAAGAAAACAAATAAACCAAGTACATTGCAAAACAATAACAATTATTTATTATTTTATTAAATTTATTTTTAAATGCAATCTATTAAATTAACAATTGAAATATTCTTCTAGATTTTTTATGAATAAAATATTCTTGTTAGTTTTTGGTTCAAATGAAAGTTTGAATTTTAATAATTAAGTAATGGCAAAGCGTTGTTATTTAATAATTTACAAAGTATTAATTATAAGTTCTTATGTTTATAATTTTTTTCAAATTAACAATAACGATTAAAAACTAATCTATATAATTAAGAGAATAAAGAACATTTTGTCTCCTGTGTATTTATATAATAAAATGAGTTTTTTAAATTGAATTTAGTATTATTGGAAAGGTCATGACCTGAATTTAAGCTTTTTCAATGTTTCATATGATTTTCAGCAATAGCTAATTAATGAAAATTTTTTAAAGTAGTTCTAAATAGATTCAAATTTTGCGATAAAAGTTTTTTTTTAATTAAATTTTTATGAAATTTTACTAGACAATTCCCAGAATAAAATTTTACAAAATTTTTTATAGAATTCTAATTTTTTAAAACCCCATCAGATTTTATAAATTTCATATTGCAACAGAAACAATGATTTTATAAAATTTAAATTTTAAATTAAAAATCGTGAAAAATTCACGATCCTCGTTACAAAATTCTTTTTTTAAAAAATTATACTCTCAAAATTCTAAAAAAAGTTCATTAAAATAATTTTTTTCAAATTAACAATAACGATTAAAAACTAATCTATATAATTAAGAGAATAAAGAACATTTTGTCTCCTGTGTATTTATATAATAAAATGAGTTTTTTAAATTGAATTTAGTATTATTGGAAAGGTCATGACCTGAATTTAAGCTTTTTCAATGTTTCATATGATTTTCAGCAATAGCTAATTTATTATGATAACTTTTCGAAGTTATTCTAAATAGATTCGAATTTTGCGATAAACGTCATTCGTTTATTTATTTATTTTATTTGGTACATGTGAACGAAGTTATTGGTCAAAAATTAATTTCTATAATTAAGAGACTAGGGAAAATTTTGTGACGAGCATATTATTATTAAGAAAAAAATTTTTATAGCTAAATTTGGTTTCATCAGAAAAGTCTTGATAAGAATTTGTGTGTCTTTTTACGGTTTTATAAATTTTTCAGTGATAGTCAATTTTTTATGTTAGGTTTTTGGAGGAGTTTTGAATAGTTTGTTGGTTCTATAAATTTATTCCGTCACATTTGTCCATTAAATTGTTTGTAATTGATCTAGTCGTAGCACTATTTTTTTTTTTTTTTTTTTTTCTTAATTTGTTTAAAGTCGCATAAACTACTAAGGTCATGAGCGACTACGGTAGGGGGTAAACTTTTGAGATTGGAACTCGTTTTATTTCTTGGGCTGAGCAGTATAATACACTTAAATATTGAAAATATTTATTGGTGTACGCCGGACTCGAACCCGTCCAATGCTTTGGTAAGCAAGGGCCGGATCCGATAGGCTACTGCGCGCCTTCGTAGCACTATTATTTTCAAAATTTATTCAATAAGTACCTAAACTATGTATAAGGTAAAAAGACCCAGTTATTTACACTGGCCCAGTTGTTTAACACTGGCAATTTTATTCCAATTAAAAAAATAAAATGTTCTCAAAAAACCAATTATCTTAAAATTTATAACTCAAAAATTATATTTATTAATTTATTAAAGTTGACTTTTTTTTTTAATTAAAATGAAATTGCAAGTGTCAATAAGTAGGCCAGGCCAATAACTCGGTCTTTTACCTTAGTGTGATTAGAAATATTAAAAAATTAGTAAACCAACGTTTTCTTATTCATAATCCATAAATTTTGGCAGTCGCATAATGACTGCAGATTGCTAGTATCTATTAAATAAAATGCCTACTCACTTTTGAATCTGTACATTTTTACAATATGCCGTGTAGTGACCCCCATGGATACCTCCAACATGATAAGAAAGACCATACATATTGTAATTATAATTATGGTTACTATTATTTGGAATATAATGTCGCAAGTTTAAATTGTTTAGCGGACATTTAACACTAGTATTTTTCTTTGACATTATTCCATCTGTTCCACTGAACCGGTTTAGATGAATGATAATAATCGGTGGCAGCCGCACAAAATCACATTTTTTTGTAGCTTGCCGCGGTACTTTACATTTCGGGCATTTCCATTCCGGTATAATTTGCACACTTAAATATTGATCCAGACAATCCTGTAAAAGCAATTGTTATTTAGAAGAATCACATCATATTTTCAAATTAGTTAGAGTAATATGAGATTATCTTACAGATAAGGAACATGGTGCATTTTCAGGCACTGATAAAGTTAAACTGTTGAATGTTTCATAAGTAATACTTTGGAATCCGCAATGCATGCATGTACATGTGGAACAAGATTGTCCATTGAACAGTTCTGTCAGAACAGATCTTTTACCCTCCAAAGATTGTTCGTATTGTTTTTCTGCTTCAGTCATTTGAGTGTCTCGAGGTATTTTTTTGTCATCCTTGAAAAAAAATTTTTTAATAAGTAAAGTTTTAAAATCGAAGAATTGATGAAATATAAGTAAGTTTTTTTGTGTAAAATAATTACCGTTCTTAAAGCCAAGTGCATCCACTCTAATAGAAGAATTAAAAACTCATGTGAATCTTGCTGCTCATTGGTTCCAAATTCATTACTGAGACTTCCTAATGTTGACTGTAATTAAAAAAAAAAAATTATTAGAATTTTAGGTAGTTAGTAAAAAAAAGATAAAGTTATTTGTTTTCAAAATGAAATAACAAAAACTACACTTTCCAACTGAATTGAAGCATAATTGAAGCATATAAATTAATATTTGATTAGTAGTAACAAAAAACTTCAATGCACTCTATAAAAAGTTATTTAGTAATCAATAATAATCATATAAAATAATTTAGTGATAAATCATCGCAGATTAGAAAAAAAAATTTGGAACATCAAAAAGCGCACGCCTCATAACGCCCATTTATTTTTTAAGAAAACAATAGATTGTATAATTGATTTTTAAAAGAAAAAAAATTAAGTAATTTCTTACAGAGCATTTTCTAACTTTTTTGTGAATTATTAGCGCCCACTTTTGCACACCTCATAAGCGAAGCGTATAACATGAGTACACATATATCAAGTCAATGAATGTGTCAGGCACATAAAATATATTTCAATAACAATTATTTTGTTTAATTATGGATCCGTGTATGTGGCAGGGAAATTGCTCAAAAAAATGATCGTAGCGGAATCATTTTTTTTTATCATTTAAAATAACACATTCCGGACTTTTTCAATTAACATGAGCGTTCAATTCACTGTCGTTTAATTATAATATTATTTATACAAAACTAAGATACGACTGTGTACTTGTATATCTCTACATACATTTTATTGTAGAATTTTTTTTCCTCACGTTAGAATTATTGGCGCTACTAAACCATAGCAGACTTATCTGTTTTTTTTTTATTATTTTGTTTTTTGTATTTTATTTTAATCAATTTTATTGTGAAAAATGAGATTATGAGGCGTGTACTTTTGGATTTTCCAAACTTTTCTTGTCATATGCGCACGCAGTCTAAAAAAATCAGGTAATATGATTGCTTGTTTTCACATTATCTTGATTAACTGGTGCCATAGTTTTCACGTGAGAAAAATAAAAAAAGTTCTTTCGATTTTGTACGCGTGTATCATAGAAAATTTTAATAAAAATTCATTAAAAAAAAAAAACTAAGTAAACTAGGCTACTGATATGAAATACGGCACGAGTTTATCAAATTCTGGAATTAATAAAAAAAGCCCGGTTTCAATATATTAATTTGTTCGGGAGTTATCATTGATACATACAAAATCAGTGTTCAAACATCAGGACGTCCACATAGAATTTTTTTCGAAACGATTTTTTTTCAAAGTAGAAACATAAAATAATTTTTAGAAAGTATAAGATGGTTTAATTTAAGTGTTTTCTCCATGTACATCTACTCATACTATTGTATAAGTGCAATATGGTTGTGATAGAGGCATTTGAAGGTCACAAAATTGCTTGACCTTGATGTGTCAAGAGTAAAGTACTATTCCAACCGCTTCGCGTTATGAGGCGTGTAGTTAGATCTTATAGAAAATTATATGTAATTTAATAAAATTGAAGTTCTAAAAACTGCCACCTCTGACGCTAGTTACGTTTGAAATAACTACATAATTTTTTTTAAATAAAATTTTACTTTGTAGAGCAAAATTTTTTGATTAAATTAAAATTTAAAGAAGAAATAAAAATTATCATTTTTTACCTTAAGCTCAATTGGTGAAATATGACGTATAGTACTAGTCCAGAGTGATTTAATAACTTGGGCAAATGCAGTGACTAATTTACTATTTTTCCCATAATTTCCATTGCGATGGAGATCGTCTTCGTAACTATTGTTGCGAAAATAGTTGGACAGTATCGGTGTGTTACTCAAGCACTGTATGATTGAGCTCATGTAACACGAGTTACCAAGATTTTTTAAACCAGTTGTACCTTGTTGCTAAAAAAAAATATTATTTTTTTTTTTAATTAATATTTTACAAAAAAAAAACAAAAATAAATTAATAATAACTCCATAAGCTTTTTTCACCTTTTTAAACTGTATCACTACTATGAACGGCGATAATTTTTTATAAATATAAACCATATTTTATCAAATGAGTCCATCAATAAATAAAACATAATTTATCTATATTTATTTTTCATGAATTAATAAATAATTTGATTACACTTTCACGATAATTCAACTTATGATTTAATTTCTTCACAGTTAGCATTGTTATTTTTTATAAAGAAAGATTTACGGTATTTGCGGTAAGTTTTAGTCAAACCGAATTGGTAGAGTATCAACGATTTAAAGTAGTAAAGAAATATGTGGTATAAGTAAATAATCCCGCGTCATCAGGCACGTGTTTTTTGTTGCTTCAAAGAAATTATTTCAACTATTGGATTTAATGAGATTTTGAAGCCGCATCAGTCACTCGTTTTTCTGTACACGTGTCTTGATTTAGTCATGTACAAATAAATACATTCACATTAAAATATTTAAAGTAATTTTTTCCGTTAATATGTTTTACATTTTTTTAATTATAAAAATTGTGAAAAAAAATTTTTTTTAATTTTTCATTTTATATAAAAAAAATTTCACTAGTAAAAAAATATAAGACTAATTTTTTGACACTAAAAGTTATTCTCACTTAAAATATTGAATAAAATTTTCTTTATTATCCAAAGATATATCTGGAATGTTCATTCTTATCAAAAACATTTTTAAAAAATTTTTATGTATAAAAAACTTGCTCAATTTAAAAATAAAAAAAAAAATTAAATGAAAAGAGTGCTTCCCGCTGATGATGCAAAACTAAATTAAAAGATGTTTAAAAATACCGAGTTCTTTAAATATTAAATAAAAATAAATAAGATAATTACTTTCGTTTTCTTAATAATATAAATAAATAAAACACCGCCTGAAATGTTTCCCGTTATGAACTGGTAATTAAAATAATAAATAATACAATCAATAAATTAAACTTACTAGATTATAAACGTCGGCATTGAAAAATCTAATTTGTACCATATTAAACAAATAAACCCGTTAATAATTAATAAATAATTATCTTAGTCGACAAATCATTCACAATCAATAAATCAATAAATAAAAATTAAATCTAGTATCACAATATCTTTTAATTATAAAATATAGTTTATTTCTAATTTATCTTGGAATGAAATTCTCGTCAAACTGACGGGCATAATGTAATAGCACGTGATAAAACGTTATCTCACGTTAAAATGTCCCTCGTTATAAGTGATTAAAAAAGCCCAAGGTCAATTTCTCAATCTTTGATAATTATTTTCAATTCATATTCTATAATATATCATTATCATTAAATATTTATTTTATTTTTTATTTACTCCAACTTCTGTTGTTTACTTTTTTTTTTCATTTTTACGCTACCCAATATAATTTAAACATTTACTCAGCACATAATTTATGCGTTCCTCAATCTAAACAATTGTAACCAAGATATTTTTTAGTCCTCTTATAGTTTAACTTTGCACGTCATGTGTAATTAAATCTTTAAGTTAATATTTATAATTATAAATACAGAAATTTTTTAATTTATTTTAATTACGTAATTAATATCTTATTTTTTTTAATAATGAGATATTTTTACCCACGAAAGTTCGAGTATTTGGAGTTTTTCGGTGAAGATTAAGACTTATAGAAAATTATATGCCATTTATTAAAAGCGTATTTCTTGAAATTACCACCTCTGACAATAGTTTTATTTTCTAGGCGCAGATAAGTGTTACATAGAAAATTACTAAGGTAAAGTACCCAGTAGTTGAACAGGTTTCAAAGTAAAACCTATTTGACCCTACTTTTAATATATAAAGATGTAATAATTAGTTCAAGTTAGAGATTTTCATGAAAATATAAACAATTTTGAATCTATTGAAGCCTAAAATATCGCAAATAATTGAATATTTATATTTTGACAACGTTTTTAAGATAGACTATGAAAGGAGTAGTAGTTGAACAATCAATTCTGAAAAATCGCAGTAGTAGAACACTCCGGGAGCAGTAGTTAAACTAATAAAATATATGGCAATAGGCATAGCAAAAATTTTCAACGTTTTATTGAAATATCAAAAGAATTATAACATGTTATTGATTAATATTAAAAATAATACTATGAATATTTAATATGTCCATTAAAAAATGAGAAATATTTGTATTTAATTTTTTAATTATATTTCTTATGAATGACAAAGCAAATTTTCAATTATAAATAAAAAAAACTCAATTCAAAAAACGTTCAATAATTTTTAACTACACTAATTTTTAGCTATAAACTTATTTAATTTGCAGTAATTAATAAAAATCACAATGCTGATCACTAGTCTATAAACTTATTAGAGATTAGAGAGCTGTTAAAATTATACGACCCCAGCTTGTTTAAGTTTAGGGTACCGCTTTGAAAATTTGAAGGCATAGTTAGACGCTAAAATTTAAGATAAAAATTATAGTTTATGTCTTTGCAAAAATATGAATTATTTAGAAAAGACTATTTCATTAGGTGGTATAATTTTTTTTTTACTTAAAATGATGATATACCGTTTTTTTTTTTACTGATTGTTCGGTTTACGGTTTAGTACCTTTTTCACGAAAAAAATAGCATCTATCGGCTATTCTCGACATGTCAACTGTTAAGTTAACACAAATATAATTGTTTTGATTTATAATTAAAAAAAACTTACAGAAGTCAATTACTGTATCATTGAATAATTATAACATGCGCATATTACTCATAATAAATATACGGACTTTGTATTGCAATAATTCAAAAAGTCTGTTCAAGTACTTACTGGTCCCATTTTTATAAGTGCTCAAGTACTGGGTACATTACCTTAATCTTTTTCTTTAAAATTGGCATTATGAAATACATTTTACTTACCACACCATCCATAAAGACAGGTTTCATATGAGACAAATTGGAATCATCGACAGATTTCTTACTACGACTATTGTCATAATTATTTTTACGCACATCTGTTGGCTTAGACGAACGATCGAACGTCGGTATTTTCAAATTTTCAAACTATAAATGCATTAAATAAAATTACCAAAAATAAAAATGGTAAATATTTTGATATGAATATTTTTAAATAAAGAAACTCTAATAATAGAATGAAAATATTGGATAATATTTACATCTTTGGTTAATTTAATCTTTTTTACCTGCGCAAGATTTGGACTTGACAGGGATCTCTTCAAATCAGAGTTAATTGTCAGCGTGGATTCTTCGCTTTTTAATGGCTCCTTATAAATTTCACTGTCATAATTATTTGCTTTATTTATTTTTAAAGCGTCTCTTTCTTTTAATAATTTATCCAATTTCTTTATGCTAAAAATAAATTAAAATAAATAAAACTTAAAAAATATTGTAAATATTTTTGTAAATTTTTATAATACTTACACTTCCTCTCGTTTTAATTGAGTTTCTTTAATTCTGTTCTCAATATCACCGAATCTGAGGTCTAATTTAGTTTCTTCAGAAGTTACATTTTTTAGTTTATTTTTAACCAACGATTTTTTTTCAATTAATTCGCTTTTATTTTTTTTTTTATCCTGAAGCTAAAAACATAAGAATTTGATCATTAGAATTTTTTTAAGTAAAAATTTAATGAATAAACTAGCAACTTTGCAGTCACTATATGACTTGTGAACTATAAAAAATTAAAATTTTGCTTCATTAAATAATTACTTTTGCTAAATTGCACTGTACTTTCTTAAATATTGACGTTTTTGAAGATATAAGCTCATCACGACTTTACACTCATCAAGAGCTTTCATTTGAGTACCCACATGCATTTTGATATATTTTTCATATATTCATACATATAAAAAAATAAAATATACACAGAAAAAAAGGTTCACTTGAGCCAAGAAAATATTTTTCTTCCTAATTATTTTCATGAGCGAAAAAAAAAATTTTTTTGACACAAGAAATTCACTTATTCCAACAAAATTAATTCTCTTGCTTTAAGAAATACGTATCTTGATCCAAGAAAATTTATTTAAGTCAAGAAAATCTTCTTGTTTTGAGAAAATTCAGCCTCTTGCTCCAAAAAATTAAATATCTCGATAGAAGTAAATTTTCATTAATATTTTTATTGATTAACATGTCGAATGGGAAGATCAAATAATATTGAATCATTTTTTTTTTCATTCAATATGTTTAATTGCACGCTAAAATAATATGAAATCGGTATCAAATATTCAAGAGAAAAATTTTCTCAAAGTGAGAACATTTTTTTCTCAGCTGAATTAGGTGGCGGCTGCTTCCCTAAAGTATCTAAAAATCTTGATCAAATATAAAAATTTATTGTATCAAGTATTTATGATAATTTGAATCAAGAAAAAATTACTTCCACCAAGAATAGAATTTCAAGAAAAATTTTTACTTCGGCCAACACAACTTCGATCTTCCTTCAGGCACCCGAAAATTTTCTTGAGCCAAGAATTTTGTTTTCCAGTCAAGAAATTTTTTTTCTGTATATGAAAAATTGATGTGGGTACTCAAATGAAAGGTCTCGAAGAGTGTAACATCGGGATGAGTTTGTTGTATCTTTAAAAATGTCAATATTTCACAAGATCAAAGGTCATTTCTTAATTATCTTTCTAGAGATAGAGCATTTTCGAATGCAGCCGAAATAGTTATCATAATAAATTGACTACTTATCGGTCAAAATGAAATGAAACCTTGAAAAGGCGCAAATTCAAGTCAAGACCTTTGCAATCATAAAAAATTTCACTAAAAAAAACCGATTTTATCATATGACTATCATGGAAACAAAATTTTTCTTATTCTTTTAATAATATAGATTAATTATCACTTACAATCTTGTCAAGAGTTTTTTTGACCACATCCTTTTCGTCTTTTAGCTCTTCACCATCACCACCAATTTTAATGACATCAAACAATTGTTGTTCCAGATGCCACAACTGCTTTTCCAACTTTTCCTGATCTTCAGCCAGGCAGTTCCGCTGTTTTAATGTCTCAAAGTACTGAACAATCTCTGGGTCTTTATCAGCAGGTTTTTTAGTGCGGTCGATAGGCGGCTTAACAGTTTTAATTTTCCTGTCATCATTACTATCATGATAACTATTAATATTAGTATCAATGTCCATTTTATCAAACCCTTGCGACAACCGAGATATGTCCAGATCATTCAGTGAATTATTAATGGGAGTCCGTTTAGGAGCAGGTGGTCTTTCTTTTTGAAAACTAGGAAAGTCGATCGGAGGAATATCGTATTCCGGATGATTACGCTCTGATGGACAAGTCACATTGGGATCAGTTACCCAAGTTGGATACGTATCGAGCCATTCTTTGAATCCTCCTTTTAGCATCAGGATCTCAGCTTTTGTTGTTCCTGGATCCCAATCTCGTAGGATTTTTGCCATCAACGCTATCGGGCTACTGAGCTTCAAGGTCTCAGGTGTCGTAGACCAATCAACCAGCACCAGAATATTTATAAATTTAACACTGCGGTCTTCATAAAAACTGATTTCCTTAGGATCTACGATGTAGTGAGTGTAGTTTTTTGCTAGAGTCCTGTGAAAATAAACATATTAGTAGATTGTTACATTAAGAGGTCATTTTGATTTGTAACTTTAATTCATTCTGTTAATATTTTTTATTGCCTAAATTTTTTGTTGAATTCTGAACGGTAATTTTTGTAAAATAAAATCAAATCTGTGATTTCTCATGAGGATTAATAGTAAAAGCAAACATATTTTTATATTAATAGCTGTTTTCTAGTTCTTTGAAGCTCTATAGATATTTAACTGGTTCAGTTAAATCTTTGAACGTGATTTTCACCCACTTTAAAACGTAGGATTCAATCGAAATTTTGCACACTTATCAAGGACCGATGACAATACAATAATTCAATAAGTTTGTCCTACTATTCTGACCAGGATTATCATAAGAAATGGTAATTTTTAAATTTACTGGGAAGAGAGCCTGAGAACCGGCAATCACATCCAAGGAAGGCAGCAGGCACGCAAATTACCTACTCTCGTCTCAGGGAAGTAGTTACAAACTTAATTAGTAAAGTATAGTTTAAAAAACTAAAAAACACGCTTTAAGGTAGTACCAAAGAGACCACAAGTGTCAAATATCAAGTGCAAAATCTCTTTTTATTTACGAAGTAAATTAACCTATGTAACCTATTTGCATTTCAGAAAAAAAGACAGAGATAATTTTAGATAGTTTTTTAATAGTTATTGCTGACACTTGCTTTGAATCTGTACTTTTTATTATGCAAATCATTCATTTTGTTAATTTTTTTTATTGCTTAAATTTTTATTGAATTCTGAACGGTATTTTTTGTAAAATAAAATAAAATCTGTGATTTCTCATCAAGATCAATGGTAAAGGCAAAAATTTTTTTATATTAATAGCTGTTTTCTGGTTCTTTGAACCTCTGTGGAAATTTAACTGGTTCATTATCTTATTATGAAGCCAAGTTTCATTAGATTCTAAACGATAATTCTATAAGCAAGGGTACTACATTAATGATGAAATAAATAGTAGTTCAAAATGTTTATTATTAAACTAATTGTGTCTATAATTTAGTTAATTACTGTAAATATTTTACTGAGAGATTTGATAAAAGTAACGTCATTATGAAAATACCTTAAAAAGCACTTCCAATTTTTTTGTAATAAAATTAATTTTTTTATTAAGAGGTCATTTTGATTTGTAACTTTAAAAAAAATTTTTTTTTTTTTACATTTTTCGAAAGTACATAAATCTAAAAGTATTGTGTTAAAATTTTTAAATTATTGAACCACTAACTATATTATTTTACAATGCTTATTTCTAAATAAGCACATCCATGTTCGAGTGAAAAAAAATCAAATTTTTGAAAATGCTGAAGGGATTTTTTGTGGAGACAGCATCGTTTGAATTTAGGTAAGATTTTTTTTTTGACCCAATCAAAATTTTGATGTTTACTAATTCTTTAAGACTAGAAACTGTTTTAAAAATTTTGTAATAAAATGAAAAAATAAGAAATTTTAATTAAAAATTGTAGTTAATCGTCATTTTTGATTTTTCTTCTGTAAATTTTTTATTTTTAGTAAAATAATGAATTTTTAATTAAAAATCATTGCTGATTTTTATTTTTAATTTTTCTTCCTCAATTAAATAAAAACATCTTTTAGTAAAATGAAGAAATAAAAATCTTTAAGGGGTCACTCTGGTTTGTTACTTTAAAAAAAAAAATTTTTTTTTTTTAATTTCTCGAATGTACATATTGCGTCAATATTTCTAAGTGATCGGCCCACTATAACTATATTATTATACAATGTTTATGTGAATGTTCGAGTGAAAAAAAAATCAAATTTTTGACAAGGCTAAAGAGATTTTGAATGATGCCCGCTTCGCTGATAGGCTTTAGATCCGTTATCAAGTTATCATGTACGTCAGCAACATACTAAAGTTTTGGAGGAGTCCGTTCACCCGTAGTTTATTTATATAAAAAATATAAAAATAAAAAACAATTGAGATATTTTTTGTGTAATACAAAAGTACATTTGTTGAGTTGAATAAAATATCAATCAATGTTCATAATAGTTTCTGCGTAAAAATATTATGAATATTGGCTCATTTTTCAAGCATCGGAACCAGAATGGTCCCTTAAATTATTAAAATATGAATATTTAACCATGCCGAAAATATATTTTAACCGTACTTATAAATATTATCTTTAAGTATACACTAAATAAATAATAGTAATAAAAACTTTTGATTACATGATAACCTTATCTATATAAAGTTTTTTATTCATGTTAATAAGTAAATATGTACTAATTAATAAACGTATGTATTGTTTATTTTTGTAATTTTTTGAATTATCAAAATGAGGAACTGTTTAATTTATAAAGATAATAAATTTTAAAGCTTGGTTTTTAGATAGAGAATTAGAAATTTTTGGTGTTATCGTTATTTTTATTACTACAGCATTTTATCATGAAATTGTATTTGTCGTTAAGAAAATAAATCAGCGTTCACTTCTCAAAAATTTTATGATTTAATTTTTTTTTTTTAATTTTAGTTTTTGTTTTTTAAAATTAGTAAAAACAATTAAACAACACTTCAAGAATTTAATAAGTGCCAGGAGTGGCAACTCTTAAAACTTCGATCCTAATAAACGAGATAACTTTCTACATGACCTCTTTTTTTTCTCTTCAAAATTATGTCAATATTTTATAAAATAAACTTATACGGTCATTTTGTAAATGTAAACATAATTGAATAAAAATTTCTATTAATTACCAATCATGTTCAAATGAACAAAACTGTACCTGAATATTTTTTTCTTTTTTTTCAAATTATAATAAAATTCTAATCATCCATAAATTTCTAAAGAAGTCATTGATAGTTCAAAAAAATTTATTAATTTTATATTTCATTTAAAAAATACTTGAAAATAAGTCCGACATAAGTTCTCCAAAATCCTGGCTTATAAGCTTGCCAAGAAAAATGCACACTTAGTCACACCAGACGAAGCGATAACATACTATAAATTGGACACTTTTGAAAAACGCAGACAGATTTCCAACTGCACTATCTTCTTTAAATTATTCACAGGCTTAATTGAAGCGCCCGATTTACTAGACAGCTTCAAGTTCATCGAAAATAATCTTAACCAAAGGCATAATCGACTACTGAAAACAACTAAATCTAATAAAAACTATGTCATCAATAGTCCGAGAAACAGAATATCAGCTCTTATTAATAGTTATCACACAGACATCAATTTTTTCAAGGTTCCTATAAAATATTCTTAGCTAAATTAAAAGTAATCTTGTAACATAATTTCGTTAGTACTTTTTCTTTTGTATATTGGTCTTTCTTCTATTATAATTTTTTTATATTAATTTCTCTCAGAATTTTTGTACTACCAAAGTGTATAAAGCCGATTGGCGTATTAGTATGTGGGTGATTCTCTGTAAGGATGTTTTTCGCTGTCCTAGGCGTTTTTTTTATTAGAAAAATTGTTATTTTGTTACTAAAAAAAAATTTATTACGAAAGTAAAAAAACATTTCTATTTGGAGCATTGAAAACTAAAATGAAATAAATTTTAGTTTTTTTGCTATATATTCGTAAAGCACCGAAATAACAGTCCCCTGGGCTGTCCCATTCCCAAAATTAAAACTTTAAGATTAAATTTTAAGTTATTCGACCATTATATATAATTTGGTCCATAATGTTTATAAAATTAGTTAATTAACTAACAATCTTCTTCAATAAAAAGTACCGAAAATTAATTTGTTTCATTAAATTCATTAAACCAAAGTTTGTCCCAGGCATTTTAAGAACAGTCTCCTGTTAGAAGTTCAAAGCAAAAAAAAAAATCCAGCGTGTTATTTTACCTTTTGTAGGGTTTATAAGGATCTAACTAGCTGTAAGTTAATAACCATAGGGCTGTTAGCGCTTTATCACCATTTTATTTAGTGTCAATGCACCGTTTGTGCTGGAAATATGTGTCTGGGCCAATTCAAAACTTAGTCCCCTGGCAACTATTTTTATTTATAATTTATTTATAAAATTGGATCCATAAGTCTTAATATTATTCTAATTAATGTAAGCATTCATTGAGAACTTAAAAAGTTAAATGGATTGAAATAGTTTGCTTGATTTTTCTCAATTTGATAAAAAAAAAAAAACAATCCCCTGGCAAACAGTCCCCTGTCATGTTATATGGCAAAAGATACACAAATATCGAAAAAGCAAAAATTAAATCGGCTATTTATTATGATTAAGAAGCTGATAGTTTTGTAACCCTTGTTAATTTTTTTTCTAATAAAATCAAAAATAATTTGGTCGGACAATTTTGTACAGATTTAATACGTCCTTACAGAGAATCACCCATATATAAATAAATAAATTGATTAAAAAAAATTTTTCTGAATTGTTCCAATTGAAGATTTACAATTCCGAAACTCACATCAATAAAATTACTATAAAAATTGATTTTTACTGAAAAAATATTTTTACATCTTTTAATATAAATGTATTAATGTATGTAATAAAAGTAAATCCTTACCCCAATTTAATACATTCTTCAGGTATATTAACACATTTACGTGATTTTATCTTCGATAGTAAATAATCATCGTGTGACCTCACATCTAAAACCAGTGTTTTATTACTGTCAATAACGTTATACAAATCTGTACACGTCATGAATTCATTTTTTTCGACATTATTGTTGTTGTTGTTATTGTTATTAATGACAACGTTATTATTCAGTGGTTCATCATCTGGAATGTCAGGTAAACTTGATATTTTATCGAGGTAAGTTTCATCGTCTGGTTCCTTCTCTTCACTTTTTATTTTTGGTTTAACTATCACTTGCTGCTGTTGTTGCTGTTGTTTATGTGATTCTTCAAATTTAATTGACAAACTATCTATGGTAGTTTTAGCTTCTTCGACCTGTAAATATTAATAATTTAATTAAAATTTTTTTAATAAATAATAATTGTAAAAATATCCAACTTTTTGGTGCCATAACTAGCGTCGGTGGCAATTTCAAGAATTTCACTTCTAATAAATTACATAAAATTTTTTTGTCAACAAACAATGTTACCTAAGCACAAAGGTGGTAACTGACATTTGAAAAAATGAGTTTTATGCATTAGATTATAAATTTTGAAATTTTTTACTTTATAATTAAGCAAAATATTAAATATTTAATTTACAATCTTTGAAAAATAACAAAATGTTTTTTAGCTATAAGTAATACAGCATTGAGCTCATCAGAAGAAAACAAATTGATTTTTGTTATATTATATCTGAAATAAATACACGGAAAAAAAAAAAATTGAATCAAGAGAAAAATAATTGCTTTAAGTATTATTTTGTTAAACCAAGAAAATTTTCTTAGTTTAAAAATTTTTCTACTTAAATCAAGACGACGAAAATTTTCAAAATCATTTTCTTAATTCAAGTTGATTTTTTTTTCTATGTACGCAAATGAAAATCTAAGTACGCTCACGATACAATTCAGTAAAGTTGAATTTCAATGATTTCCTTCAGTAAAGTCTATAAAAATGCTAACCAGTGATATCTACAATCATACAACCAGTGTTAGATTTTCTTTTCAGGAGATCAAATGTTTATTTATAAAAAATTTGTTTGTAAATCATGTATTGTTGATTTTATTAAACTATGTGGTGTTATTTAATTTCAGTAATAAAAAGAATGATTGAATATGAATTACTAGCTGTTACTCGCCCGCACCGCTGGGCGCTTTATAGAATTGCATTTTTAGATCTAGACTTGAAATTTAATTAGAGTATTGTTTTGATTTGCAGAGATTCCCAATTCTATCGAATTGGCATGCACCTTTTATCCATGTAATTATTCTAGCTAACATTCATTGTAATATTCAATGCGCAATCATTATAATATTCCCGTGTCTTTCTTACAAAAATGAATAATTAATATGAAAAAAAAAAAAAAATTGTAATGAGCATTGAAAGTTGCAGTTAAAGAAATTGCAGGTCTCATAAGTGAAGAAATCTGCCTAGTATATAAACATAACTAATAGAATTAAAAAATTCATTTTAAACAAATGACAATCGAATAGAATAAATTTAGTTTTAATAAAAATTCATTATTTTTAAGTCAAGAAAATATATAATCACTACCATATCATATACTAAAACCTTCTCCGAAACAAGTTGCATCTTATGGTATAAGTATTATTCCGATCGGTTCAGTACTTTTCGCAATATAACAGGACAAAAAAACCGGCTTTCCATTTATTAGTATAGATTACAATCTAACAAATTAATTTTTTACGGCAACAGACTGAAATTATTTAGAATAAAAATGATAATACTAAAGTTAGTCGATGTTTTTAATTTATTTTTAATAATTAAATTAGAACAAAAAAATATTTTTTCAAAATTGCACTTACAGTTTTTAAAGTTTTTTACAAATAAGATTTTTTTTATTTTTTTTGTAATTTTTTCAATAAAAAAAAATTCTAAAAATTTTTAGATGTCGGCTAACTTAATTTTCATATAAAAATCACTGAGATAATATGATTGTAAATCTAGTAGACATACATTTAACTTTAGAATTAAATAAAACGAATAAATAATAAAAAATTGTTAATTTTAAAAAAATGTATCTATGTAGATTTAAAAATTTTTTACGTTAAATTTAAACGTAAAATCAAGAAAATATCTATTTGTTTTTTTTTTTTTTGCAAATTACTGTTGGTACTATTCTTAAACTACTGATTGTCAAAGTCATAAAGTAAAAACCGAAACTCATAAATTAAAAACTAATGGTTGTTGCAGATATCACCATTGTGCTTAGCCAGGTAAAATTATACCTCCAGGCAGGTACTAAATCACACCCTGTCTTTAACTCAGATAGTTAATCCTCTCTTTGTATCTAGTCTATTGTTAGTTGGATACTTTTACCGGTAATCTTTGAAAGCGTGTAATTAAACATCAACAAAAAGTATTCTTACGTGTCTAGGCACAATGTATTGTTGGTACTCATTAGAATTACTATTATATAACCTATTTTTCTGTACCCATGCCACCGAATCTAAATAACGTTTCATCATTACGTACAACATGTCATCGTTACCAGCACGTTTGAATTTTAATCCTTCTTCGAACATTTTTGGCAATCTTTTTGCTACGTCCTGGATTTTTTTATCCGACAGATCAACCTTTGCTCTCGCGTTCAGTTGCTTTATGTACGGGTGTTCATTGTCATTCGCCATTATTTATTATAATAGTTTTATGCTCTGTAAATAATTATAAATCTTGATAAATAATTAATTTTAATTTGAAGGTTATTTTGATTTTTTAACGTTTACTTACGTTTGAAAGCTTAACAACACAAAAACTTAACAGGAATGTACACTGTTTATTTTATTTTAATGATTTAATTATTTGCTGATTATTTTATTAAAAAATAAATACGTATTTACGATAACAATAGTCACTTATTGTTTTTTTGTTATAAAATATATATGAAATTTACTTAATTACTTATTTCATAGTGAATAATCTTTCAGTGTGTAGTAGTGAAAGAAAGTGTCTACTAGGTTAATAGAAAACACAAAAGATGGCGCTAGTGGGTTAAAATTGTGGGAATTTAAATGTTTTAACCAAGGCCTTTAATAAAAAAAAAAAAGAATTTAAATGTGTTATAGATTCTTGGAGGGATTATTGTTATAATTTAATTAAGTAATTAACTTATAATATTCCATAAGAAATAAAATTTTTTATGGTTATATAAGTTTAAGAGTGACTGTGAATCTAGCAGATAATCAATAATTATAATTAATAAAATACTAACAACCAGCAGTCACTAATGTGACTACATCAGAGATTTACGAATTATTGATAAGAAAACTTAATAAGAAAATTTAATAAATTTTAAAAATAATAGTGCTATGACAGGACCATTTAAAAATAATTTATTGGACAAATGTGACGGAACAAATTTATATAACTATAATATAGTATTCAAAACTTCTCCAAAAACTTAACATAAAAAATTGACTATCACTGAAAAATGTATCGAATCGTAAAAAAGACACAAATTCTAATCAAGACTTTTCTGGTGATACCAAATTTAACTATAAAAATTTTTTTCTAAATAATAATATGCGCGTCACAAAATTTTCCTTAATCTCTTAATTAAAGAAATTAATTTTTTACCAATAATCTCGTTCACGTGTACAAAATAAAATAAATAAATAAACGAATGACGTTTATCGCATAATTTGAATCTATTTAGAATAACTTCGAAAAGTTATCATAATAAATTAGCTATTGCTGAAAATCATATGAAACATTAAAAAAGCTTAAATTCAGGTCATGACCTTTTCAATAATACTAAATTCAATTGAAAAATTTCATTTTATCATATAAATACGCAGGAGACAAAATATTCTCTTAATTATCTAGATTATAGTTATTATTAATAGCTATTGTTCATTTGAAAAAAATAATTTTAATGGACTATTTTGAGAATTTTGAGTTTATAATTTTTGGGAAAAAGAATTTCGTAACGAGCATCATGAATTTTTCACGATTTTCAATTTTAAATTTAAATTTTCTAAAATCATTATTTCTCTTGCATTATGAAATTAATAAAATCTTGTGGAGTTTTAAAAATTAGAATTCTATGAAAAATTTTATGATTTTGTAAAATTTTATTCTGGGAATTGTCTAGTAAAATTTGATAAAAATTTAATTAAAAAAAAAAATCATTTATCGCAAAATTTGAATCTACTCACAACTACTTCGAAAAATTACAATTGATTATATATCTATTGCTGAAAACCATATGAAACATTGAAAAGGCTAAAGTTCAGGTCAAGACCTTTCCTGAAATTTATGAAAATAATTGTAAACTCCAACGCTCATTAAATTCAGCAATACGCTTCATCTTCAACTTAAAGCGAGATGAACATGTCTCGCCTTATAGACGTGAACTGGGATGGCTCTCGATAAAGAGTCGTCGAATTTATTTTACTTGGTGTTATTTTTACAAATTATTAGAAACTAGTAAACCTAGCTATTTGCGTGAACTATTTCAGGAAGATCTCAGTATAAGACGCTCTGAGAGACTAGCAGCCAAGAAAAATAATATCCTCTTCAAGTTCCCAAATTTCAGTACCACTCAATATGAGTCTTCTTTTGTAATAACAGTTATACGATTATGGGAAGAATTACCGGAGGATATTATAAATTCTTCAAGCTTGGAGGTTTTCAAAAACAAAATTTTTGATTATTTATTTAATCTAGATGTTTGATTACAAACTACTATTAATGTTTCTATCTTTTGTTTCATTAATCCTCAAGCTTTAGTAAATCTTCATTATATAGTTTCTTTATAATTTAAAGTTTCATACCTGTATTTATAGTAACATAAATGATTATTAAAATTTGTTAGTTAATTCATTATAAATTAAAATTTTTTATACTTATATAGTATTATATGTCACTATTATTTATCTAAAAATATTATTTTATAAAACATTCTAAATATTTATAAGTTAAACTGCACAATAATGTAAAAACTGTATGTATATGTACTCTTTGCCATTTGGCAATTGCCTTGGCATAATTTCTAAATAAACTAAACTAAACCTTTCCAGTGATACTAAATTCAATTTAAAAAACTTATTTTATCATATAAATGCGCCAAATACAAAATTTTCCTTATTCTCTTAATCATATAGATGAATTTGAAAATAATATAATGTATATTTAATCTTGAATGAAGTATTGTGTCAAAACTATTGACTCAAAGTTCAAGTTCCAAATTCTGAATAAAATATCAAAAATAAAAAAAATTATTAAGAAATTAGCTTTTTAAAAAATTGTTTTCAAACAAATCACTTATTATTTTATATTAATTTTAATTCTTCAGATTTAAGTTAAGCTAACTGACCATATTATTTTTAATTGTTTTCTAAATCATAAAAACTAAGTAAAAATATTAACTTCTCATTAATAAATAATTCTTCAATAATTTTTCACTTTAAGTAATAAAAATTTCTTCCGCACAAATTTAAATGAAAAATTGAAAACAATTTCCGTCATACTTACAACCAGTACTACGAAATTAAGATAGATTTCTTCATTTCCCGGCGCTGCGTTACCGACCTGGCAGCAAAAAAAAAAACAATATTAAAATTACATATATTTTTTTTACATACACTATATCATATGTACATTGTACATACACAGTAATTAATCCATCAATTGATTCATTTTAACTCTAACAAAAAAAAAAAAAATAAAGTAACAATAAAATAAGTGTAACAGACGAACTTTCTCTCGGGCGACTCAACAATGTCCGTAATAATTCCGTACGTTTTATTAGTTAATTAAAACCTAATAAACCTAAGTTATAAAATAATAATAAAAATAATATAAAAAGAAAAAATTGAACCAAAGTATTTAAAATCTAAAATGATTTTATATTGAACGTGATTGTAAGTAATTTTATAAAAATAAAATAGTTAAATTTAATGAATTAATAATTTAAAAAAAATATTTTTCTTTCATAGTGTTGCTAGTTAATTAGTTGACCAGTTGCTAAATATTTACACAAATAAAAACATGCTTCAAGCAGTACGTTTGCTGACTGAATTAGCACGACCAGTTGATTACCGTCGTGATAATAGTGATATGGATTCACGGCAACAATCTCACCAAAATCAGCACCAGCAGAATCATCACCAGCAGCAGCAGCTGACAGCGCCTGAAAATTCTATTTTATTCCGTGAAATTTACAAGAATGGTTGGCTGAGAAAAACAATTAAAACTGATAACAAAGAAACTAATCGTTATTGGGTCGCATTTTGTGTTCATGATGATGTCGAACCAAGACTTGAAGGATTTATTGATCAGAAACAGTCTACGACTCACTCGCCTGTCTGGGCAAGTTCGCTCAGGAATATCCAACACTTGTCGCCTACTTTGTGTGCTACTTCCAGGCACGACTATGAGTTTTGCATTAACTTTGCTGATGATCGCGTTCTCAGACTCGCTGCACCAACTTACTCGGCCATGCTTGAGTGGGTTCAGATTATCACCAGGAAACTTACGGATATGAAGGTTTTGAAGCCCAAGGAAAATGTTTACTCAAGAGGGCCCGAGAGAATTGCTACCAGGGATCCTACTAGTCCGCTACCGCCACCACCTTTGCCTTCTGGGTAAGGTTTATGCTTTTTTTTTTGTCACGTGGATGTGGATTTGAGTATAAAGTTATTGGCACTCTTTCCATCATCAAAAAGATATTTTGTGTAATTATATTCAGATTTTCATAGAAAATTACATGAAATTTTTTTGACTGAAAAATTTTAAAATTTAATCATTTTAATTAAAAAATTTATTAGTACTAAAAAAATTTTTCAAAAATTAATATTTTTTGTTATTTCTACTTAAAAAATTTTTTCATATAAAATGAATTGTTGAAAAAATTCTAAAAATTATCGGGTCTGGTGATTTAGTATCATAAAATTTGAATTTCATGGATTAAACCTCATACTTGAAAATCACTCTGAAAAAAAATTAACTTGAATCAAGAGAAAAATTTTTAAAATTTCATTGTTTAGAATCAAGTAAAATTTATTGAAACCAAGAAAAATTTTTTAATTTACGAATTTTTCTACTCAAATCAAGATAAATTTCTCCAAAATTATTTTCTTGATTCAAGATAATTTTTTTTTCTGTGCAGTTCCATCTAGAACTTAATATTCATCTTTAAAAGTTTACCGCTAAAAAATGATTTTGAAAAATTTAATTTCGGATTAAGCTAAAAAGTTCTTGAATTAAAAAATTTTTCTATTTCATTCGTTAAATTTTTTAGTGGCGTATATTTTTAGTTGATTTTTTAGAAATCTTACTATTGCATTTGATCTCATGGCGGAATTTTCAAAAAATTTTGTCATATTATGTTTCTGATGGTCAAGTTAGTTAAGAAAATAACATTCGTTTGAAAGTCTGCAATTCTTAAGGGATCTTTATGAAATTTGGGACACTTTTTCTTTAGGTAAATAATTTGAAATTTTCAAAATAGCAAAAATTGAGATTTTTGTGACTTTTGTCATGAATAATTTTTTTACTGAGGAGATACCTCATTTCTGGAAATATCACGTTGAAGCTGACGATATGCTGTTTAATTTGCTCTACTGAACTCATATTATTTTATCATTTTTTTCAGAGATTTTGTGAAGATTAATTTAGTAGTAATAGAAAATACAAAGAAAGTTATTTTGATGAATTTTAATTAACATTTTTTATTTTTCATTTTACAACAAATTTTACTTCTTTAATCATAGTTTAAAGTTGATTGCATGAAAATTTAAAACTCAGCTTTAAGAAATTTACTATTTCGAATGCCAAATGGTTTTTTTTTATAATACTGAAATAAGCCGACATTGGACAATTTTTTAAGTTTTTATTACAAATAAATTATTTAAAAAAAATATTTTTCAAAAATTTGCATTTGCAATTTTTTTCAATTTCTAGATCTGGAAATTTTTATTAAAAATTTTTCATAGTAATTTAGTTGTTATAAAAATCCAAAAAATTTATATGTTTGTCAATTTCAGTATCATTTTTTTTTTCCTAATAAAAACCTAAGGTAAAATATTATTAAATTTAAACAATTTTTTCTATTGGTGTACATAAAATATGTAATTTATTGATGGTCAAATTTTTACTATGAAAATTTGAAAGAACTTTTACAAAAAAAAATTTCTATTTTAATATAAAAAAATTTTTTCAAAAAAATCTAAATCTTTAAAATTCAATAATTTTTGCTGATCAATCTCAAGCCATAAATGTAAAATTGAAACTTATCGCAAAGTTTAATTGTAGGCAAGTGTTTCTATTCTTTCTACATGATAAGAATCATTAGCTAATATATTACTTTGAATTTTATCGATAAGATTATCAAGTGACCTATTTCTCATAGCTGGATTAAAATTTGAATTAATAAAAAATTTATCTTCGTAAAAAATTTCTGATTCATCTTAGACTAAAAATAATCTATTTTGAACAACCAGTAATTTTTTTTTTAGCTTCACTGATGATTGTGAGATGAATTAATCTTTATTTCTTCCAGATCATGGATATCTCCATCCCCAAATGATCCACCTTCAGTTCCAAGTATCTCAAGCACCAGCACTCCGTCATCCTCCTCATCAGTGTTGTCTGTCGAGCAGAATTCAACTATCTTTACCTTTGAAGACATAAGTCTTGATGACCGTCGATCAAGACCAAGTCAATCACGCCTGCGATCTCTGACCTCAAGTCCTCACATAATTCCAACACCCGCACCGGCACCAACACCCGCATCAAGTATCGATGATGACACCAGCTATGAGAACATATTCATGGCTTCTTCGTACCCATTACCAACTAGCATAACAGAAGAATCCCGCTCGAGTGACGTACCAGTGCCAACAATCCAAAGTACCATCAATCAAGAGCCATCAACTGATCAGTACGCAGCATTGATCGAGTGTCGCAGTTCAGGAACACCAGAACCCCATGTTCCAAGTGTCTCAAATGACCCCAGTGCCTCAACATCAGCTATGTCTTCATTATCTGTTTCATCGTCATCTAGCTCATCGAATGGACGAACTGGACAAAGATCAATCTCTGGATCTTCTACAGCACCTGGTCCAAGTTTGCTTGCTTCTCCAGCACCCGGACCCAGTTCCCTAGCCTCCAATTTACCTGGACCAAGTCTCCTACCGCCCGCATCACCTGGACCCAATCACTTAGTCTCAACATCTGGACCAAGTCACATTTCTTCTAAATCCCCAGTTCCTAGTGCTCTACCGTCGAATCCCACTAGACAATTGACATTACGTGAAAAACAAATAGCGCAGCTAAAACGTGAGATGACCCATCGAGCTGGAGTTCGCTTACAACTTGGAAGACGTGATTGTAAAGATAGTATTGCTTTTGTTGATACATTTGGATCCATTTGGTATGTTTTGTCTTTATTGTATGAAGTGTGAAGTAGATTGACCATGTTCTTTTTTCCAGGGTCGCTGGGTGGAAGTGTCGTGAACACCCGCTGCTTTATAATGTCCTGCATGTTGGTGATATGGTGATAAGTGTTGCTGGAGTTATACCAAACGGAGCTAGCGCTATTCGGGATATTCTTAAGGGTATTACTACACCGAGGGTAAGTTTAAGTTAAGACAGTGGAACCACGGTAATTTAAACCTTAATAAGGTAAAAATTTATAGAGAAAAGCTTAAGATAGGTGAAGTTTTATTTTAAACTTCTGATGATCAAAAATTAATTAGTTGTAGTAGATTTATTTTATTTACAATTTAAAATTATACTATCAATAATTCGTTGATGTTTTTAATACTATACAACCGCCGGCATAATAAGACAATTTTAATATTTTCTAATGAAGATATTACGCTTTCATTTGATGAAAATTTTTTTATTGATTCTCGTATTGGTAACTTAAATATCAATGAATCGTCTAATGTTTGCTTTGAAGAAAGATGAAAATTTAATTCACCAGAACTAAACATTGAGCTAAGGAAAAGTTTATTTTCATGAATTAAAAACTCTAAATATTTGGTAAAAAATAGTTTTTGTACCCATTGCAACAAAAATATTCAAAACGTATGTTAGTATGTTAATATATCTAAAATTTGAACATTTAATCTAAAAATTATATCTTCCCTCCAGTACCTAGACAATTCATGTGTTAATAACATAACACGCTGTGAATAAAATGGCGGCTGAGCGCTTAATAAAAGTACCCGAACAAAGCCGAACGGAACCGAACGGCTTAACTTCTAGTACTCTTAAATATTTCAGTAATAAGAAGAATACAAATGGAAATATTTTTTTGACATTAGGGTGATTCTCTGTAAGAACGTCTTAAATCTGTACAAAATTGTCCAACCAAATTATTTTTGATTTTATTAGAAAAAAAATTAAGGGCTACAAAACTATCAGCTTAATCATAATAAATAGCCGATTTAATTTTTGCTTTTTCGATATTTGTGTATCTTTTGCCATATAACATGACAGAGGACTGTTGTTTTTTTATCAAATTGAGAAAAATCAAGCAAACTATTTCAATGCATTCAACTTTTCAAGTTCTCAATAAATGTTTACATTAATCAGAATAATATTAAGACTTATGGATCTAATTTTATAAATAAATTATAAATAAAAATAGTTGCTAGTTAGATCCTTATAAACCTTACAAAAGGTAAAATAACACGCTGGATTTTTTTTTTTTGGCTTTGAACTTCTGGCAGGGGACTGTTCTTAAAATGCCTGGGAAAAACTTTGGTTTAATGAATTTAATGAAACAAATTAATTTTCGGTACTTTTTATTGAAGAAGATTGTTAGTTAACTAATTAAGTTTATAAACATTATGGCCCAAATTATATATTATGCACGAATAACTTAAAATTTAATCTTAAAGTTTTAATTTTGGGAATGAGACAGCCTAGGGGACTGTTATTTCGGTGGTTTACGAATTTATAACAAAAAAACCAAAATTTATTTCATTTTAGTTTTCAATGCTCCAAATAGAAATGTTTTTTTACTTTCGTAATAAATTTGTTTTAGTAACAAAATAACAATTTTTCTAATAAAAAAATGCTTGGGACAGTAAAAAACATCCTTACAGAGAATCACCCATTAATAAAGAAAATATGAAAAATTTCGGAAACAAAAAAATGAAGTAGTAATTAAAAAAAAAAAATAACCGTGAATAAAATTCTTATAGTCTGGGTATTGAAGGGTTAATATTAAAAATGAACTCTATCTAATTTCAAAAAACAAATTTTAAATGTAAGCTAATCTTCTTAACTCATATGTTTAGAGGACAAACATCACTAAGTAAAAATGTGAAGTTTTTAAAATTAAAGGACGTTCATGCGTAAAACTTAATGGTAGATATATATTTATATTTTTTAGTTTTGATAAGTTTAATCTTAATCACCTAACCAAAATAGTTAACAGAGTTGTTTCAGAATACTAGAGTAAACTTTATTATTTTAATTAATGAATATCATATATTTTTCTCGACTATTAATTTTTTTCAATCCTTAAGTTATAGTGATTGTATAGAAAGATAAACTATTTTTATTAATATTGTAGATAATGAAATAAGATTTAAAATTAAATAGGGTGTCAATAATTGGACTCCTGTCACTAATTGGTGCCTTTACCTTAGTGATCTTTCCTAAAAAATTAAAAATTCGTTATTGATTATTTTCAAAAGTTATTAACGATTAAAAATTAAATTTTTAATAAAAAATCTTATGGCAGATTAGCATTTTTTTAATTTAAAATTATAATATTTATATTATTAAAGTAGATACCATAATAAATAATAAGTCTCTGATTCATATAGTTCATAAAAATGCATTAAAAGCATAGCGTTGACGAATATTTATATTCATTATTTTACTTGGTATAATTAAAATTGTTTTAGTTTATTTTCCAACGTTCTGAAAATAAACATTTTAATATTACTGATTACATGGTTAGAAGACAGATTTATTAAATTTAATAAATAATAAAGACGGACGTACTATCAACGACTAGTTTATATTTGCTGATTTTTTAAAATAGATTTTTAAAATATTTTAGGTAAATTAAAAAAAATTTTTAATCTTTATAAAATTATTGATATACTTTAAAATTTTTCTCAAAACCCCAATAAATTTCATTAAAAGTTAGTACTCATTTGATTCTAGCGTAGCGCATGAACGTCCTTGAGTCTTTTGTATTCTGAAAACTTTATCATTAATTTTTTGACTTATCGAGGTTCTACTGTCAAATAAATTTTTACTTATAATTATCGACAATGAAGTAATCGAAATTTGATGTCAGGTTGAAGTGATAGTCCGCCGTCTACCTTATGCACGTGCAATGATACTAACTAAACGTACGGATAATGAAGACTTTGGATTAGAGGTTAATGGTAATGAATTATCAGGCGTTAGTGGTGTTGCATTGACTGCTGGACTATCACCTCTCGCTGATGCTACTGATCCCACAGCACCGAGTGGATCTAACACTACCTGGACTATTACTGAGGTCAATAATCGCCCTTTGAATATGTTTGACAGCTGTGCTAGTGATCGGCTGAAAGCTATCGGGCGAGATATTTCTATTGTTGTACAACCCACTGATCTTATTGCATCATTACGCAATAAATTACGTGCAATGCGTAGCTATAAGAATTTTATTTTACAGTGATATTTTATTTTCGACAAAAGGTTTTTTCTTTTTGGGAGCTTATTTTGTTTTAATTTTAGGATTATTAATACTTTTTGATTATTTTTATTAGTCCAAACAGAGTTACTTTTTTATCTTCTTTTAAATCAAGACCAGTAGCGTTTATAGACTTTATTATAATTAATTGTGAGAATGATTATTCATTCATAAAATTATTAATTGATCTGATTTTCGAACTTTATTGAAATCGCGAAGAAAATTATTTTGATACATACATCTTAAAGGTATTTCTTTTATATCTTCACAAAATTTTAACCATAAAATATGTCTCAGATTTTTGGTCTAGTATGCCAAAAAAATTTTTTTGAAAGGTTGACTTTCGTTAAACAAATTTATTCATTTAGAACAATAAATACTTAACTACTCGCAGTTAATTTTGACTGAAATTTAAATCCAAAGTATAAAAAAAAAAACGTATTTTTCCTATATTAAAATTAAAAATTATTCGATGATTACTAAAAGTTATTTCTACGACACTGAAATTAATAGACACTTGAAAATTGTTTGATTTTTCTTAAAAAATGAACTAGATCTAGAAAATTATTTTTAAAAAATTGCATTTAGAGCTTCTAAAAATGGAATTTTTTAGATAATTTTTTTCTACTATCATTTATTGGTTAGAAAAATTCTTAAATAATTATATCAGATATCGCTCAATTGCTAACTAAATTATGATGAAAAAGTTTTAATAACAAAAATTCCACATCTAAAAATTGAAAAAAATAATTGTAAATTTTTGAAAAATATTATGACATTAAAGTTAGCAGTCACTTGATTATTTTTTAGTTTTTTTAACAAATAAATTTGTTCTGCTAAATTAATTTTCATAAAATATTTTATTTTTATAATTGATTTGTAGTAAAAATAAACAAAAATATCAGATGTCTGTTAATTTCAGTATCAATCAATTTTTTTTCTATTTTTTGTGGCCAAAAATATTTGGAAGCCCAATTCAGTATAACTATTTGAAGAAAACATGACTAGCGCCACAGGTTGTGATTTCAATAACATTCCTCCAAATAATTAATTTATCTATTATTTAAAAAAAAAAAAAACGCGACTGCTGCCTAAAAAGACGGAACATCTCAACTACATCTCAAAACAATAAGAATAAATTATAAACTTTTTTTATTTAAGACAACGCAAATTTTCTAGTTCTTTCCACTTGAAGCTATTCGGATATTATAAAGTTCCGGAAGTACTCGGGCGGGAGAAGAGAGCTGCCGGCTCACGTGAGTCTCTCGGTAACCATCGACCACCATTTCGATCAAGTACTCCTCTTGTAATCGTAAGCTCGCGTTTTTTTAATAACTTTTGTTTATTTATCATCTCTCAATACTGCGTCAACTCACGAATATAGTTCATCATATTACAATTTTACATTACAATTGAGTGATTTATGTCAAAAGATGCAAACATCGTGTGTCAGAAGTTAAGAATTGTTCATTCGTCAATAGAATTTGAAGATCGGGTTCGAGATTCGAGATCGAATGTAAGTAACTGATTTGTTTGACGGTTGTCTTCTTAATGTAAAAAATCTTATTGCTAAACTTGTGATTTGAATGTTAATTTATTTTTATTTCAATAAATTTATAAATTTTTCAAAATTTTTTCTACTACAAAGTCTTGTTTTATATTACAATATATATAAATACATCAAGTTGGAAACGTCCGATTGACCAACTTGTGAAATTTTATTATTTTTCGCTCAGTACCAGTACTCCATAAAAAAATGACAAACATATAGGTAACGTGTTTAGGGGCAAAATTTAACTGTGGAGGCTATGTTTACATGGCTTTTTGACTTAATAATGCTGAATTTCTTCCATTATATTTAATATACACAGCCTTAATTTTTTTTTAATTATTCCATTACTTGGTTTAATATTTTTGCCCGTTTTACTCATAAATTCAACAAGGGGCCGCGCCAATTCTGCAGAAGTGCTGCTTCTATATTTGCCGCATATCCCTATTTTTTTTAACGAAAATCAACTTTTTGGAGAAATTTTTTTGTATCACATAATATCAATATAAACTGAATGTTATATTTCTTATTTTTCAAATTACAAAAATTGAATATTAAATATTCAATATATGATTATAATTTTTTTGTAATAGATGCACAAAATAACACCGTTGAATTTTGGAGATAACGCGGGATGATACAAATTGAAGAAATTTTTTATATGAAAAAAATTGATTGGAATTTTGATTTGTAGGCTAGAGATTTGGAAATATTGTAACAATTATTTAGCGACTAATTTTTTTATGATACTGAAATCAGCGACATCCAACAAATTTTTTAATTTTTATAACAAATCAGTTATGACAAAAAAAAATTTTTTTTTAAATTCGCATTTATAATTATTTTTTTTTTATTTTACATGTGGGATATTTCTACTAAATTTTTTTTCATAACAGTTTAATTGTTGTATAAATATGAAAAATTGTTCGTTGATTTCAGAATCACGAAATTTGTCTATTCATCAAAAAACTTCCAGTTATAATTATTTGATTAAATAAATTATAGTTATTTTATTAATTATTAATATCTAAAATGTTCAAAATTTAGTTGTGACAATCAAACGAACAAATTTTATCAGAATGGTGTATTTTTAAGCATAAATTACGAAAAATTTCTAATTATGAAACAAAATTGATTTCTCACTCTAGTTTTGCGATGGAGTGCAAAATTTTTTTCCAAAATACGGGAATAAAAAATTTGGTAGCTAGCTATTGGTATTTAATTTAAAAGAACAAGCTTTTATTTTTTTATAAAGTTTATTTGTTGAAAAAAAATTATTTAAATTATCAACATAAATTGATAAATCGAGTAGTGCATTTATTGTCAATTATTTTCTATTTCACTGAAACAATTAGGAGTAATTGAATGTGCATAAAATAATAATAAATAAAAAATAAGCGTATCCTGTGATAATTTATACAAACATATAATTATTAAAATTATATAATTATGAGTAAACAAAGTTATGATTATTATATTATATTAATTATAAATTATTAATAGTTATAAGTTATAATGAAGATAAAATCACATTATAAACAGTATAATTATACAATAATAGTAACAATTATGATTATGACTTATGACATTATTCAAAAATATAACATATTATATATTGCAATGTTTTATTTACATTATAAAACACAATATTGTTATTAGTTAATATCATTAATATTTAATTAATAGCGTCAGTCTTATGTGAAGAACTAAATTAATTAAAATATTAACACTACATATTATTTAACCATTTAAAAACTGCAATTGTATTTATATTCAATTAGAATTTTTTACATCAATTGAGAAAATTGAAAGATATTTTGTTGTTATTAGATATCATAGCATTTCAGTTATTTACTATAATGGAATTTGGTAATTGGTTTGTTTTACGGTATAAAATAAGTTGATATAAAATTATTATTTAGAATTTGTTTTTAACAATTAAATATTTTTTTCTTGACGTTCATCAGAAATACAGTAGGGTAAATGCACCAGTTGTTGACCGGTCACCAATTAGTTGATCACCGATGTATAAAAAAGTTAATTAATTAATATTTTACAAGTGTTTTTTTTTTCTTAAAGTATTAAAATAAAACAATATGGCATTTAATCATCATAATAAAAAATTACGCAATTAATTGGGCAGTGATTATAGCTTTAAAAAAATATTCTGAGTTTGTTTACAACGGAACCAGCCATAATTTTATGTTATTATGTTAATTAAAGATCAGATTCCAACTTTTTTGAAAAAATAAAGTTAAATTATAAGTTTTAATATTATTTTAAGACCGGTCAACTATTGGATCCGTCAGAAGCCCTTCTGACCCAGTAAAAAATTCATTCGGTCATTTATTAGACCCTCTGATTTTATCACAACCCAATTAATGACCGTATATTTATAATACTAACTTCTAAACCTCAAAATTAAATCTGTCAAGTGTTTAAAGTACTTTAGTCATTAAATATTTTGTAAATATAAAAATAATCATTATAAAATGTATATTTATAATTAAAATAATAATTAAAATCTTTTTTGATTATTAAATTTTATTTTATTCTAATTTTTTTAGTGAACGGTTATATCAAAAGAACGAATTATTAGAAGAAAAAATTGATAATCAATTAAAAAAATAAAAAAGAGTTACAAGCTAATAAAAAAGCTTTAATTGAAAAAAAGAAAGAGAAGAATAAAAAAATTTCAAGTGAATCAGAAAAATTATCGTCATCAAAATGAATTTGTGACCTAAAGAAATGTGACTTTACGTTAATTATTGCTATTATTTATATTATTTTATAAAAAAGTACAATTTAAAATTATATTGTATGTTTAGTTTGGTTAAAGATGTCGTTAATACTTTAAAAGTACTGCATAAATTTAATTACATAAATGTAGTTTACAAAATTACTTATAAAATTATTTGAGCGGTGAATTAATTGGAGAACGGTCGGTCATTTATTGGGTTTCTTCGTTTAATTATATTAATATAATTTTGTTAATTTTTATTATAAATAGTTATTAATTATTATTAATTAAGTATTTAACTTTAATAAAATCCATTACAAATTGTTTTTAGTAGGTTGATAGATTTTTTATAGCTTAGTACAGAAAAAGAAAACCTTAATCGGTCAATAATTGGTGCATTTACCCTAATTAAAAAAAAAAAAATATTTTTTATTTTTATTTTTTTTTTGAAAAAAAAAAAAAAAAGAATTCAGAAAAGTTTTTTATTTTAATTGTTTTTACACAACACGGTAAAGATACCAGAAGTAATTTTTTTAATAAATTACATTAAAAATTTATTTTTACAAATTTTCATAATTATAGTAGTGAATTTGTTGTAAAATAAAATATAAATGTTAATTTTTCAAGATTTTTCTATGTAAAAAAAAACGAAATGGCCGTAAACATAAACAATTACTTGAAATTCTCATAAAATTAAAACTTTAATCATAATTCAACCAAAATAACAAATTACAGTTCAATATTTCAAAAAATTTGTCTCAAAATTAAAATTTTTCTATAGAATTGTGTAAAAAATTTTGCAATTCGTATTTCGATTAAATTTTTCCAAAAACTTCATTATTCACTGTAATTCAAATTCCAAAAAAATCTTTGAAGCTTATTCTTAAAAATAAGTTGATATTTTAAAATTCTAGATTAGTTCTTACATATAAAATTTTGTAAACAAAAAATCTTTCAATTTATCTACATCACCATTGAATTTCGTTAAAAACAAAGTTCAAAAATCTATTTTTGACTATAATCTATAAAGAAATGAAAAATAAATTGACTAAATAATAATTATAATAATAATAAAAATGATAATAGCAACAAATTACCAATCCAACGATTGTGTTGATTGATAAGTTGGACTATTGTTAGTGTAAAAATTAGAATACCATTTTCTATAAGAAGAAATTGTGTGATCTTCTTTAACAAGTTTTGGATTTTTTTGATATTTTTTATAGTTCCAAACAGCAATATCACGTTCAAACATAAAAGATTCACCCCAAAATATTATTTTAGCATATGGACTCAACAATAATGGTGAATATACATAATGTGTAACTCGTTGTTTTAATGGCTCTAATGGTGTAACTGTTTGTAATATACACACCGGACCAAATGTTGTATCTAGGAATAATTCTACGTAAGCCGGTCCTATTTGTTCTACCTTTACATTCATGTTTATAATTGACCATTTTTCAAATAATACTAAACTATGATGTAAATTTATTGCTGCACAATGTTTTTTACTTTGGTTATTAATAATATTATTGTTTTTATTATTACTATTAATATTAATATTGTTAATGTGCAATTTAACATCGTTAACTATTTGTTGATTTTTGTTACCGCTAAAATCATCGATATACTTTGAGGATTGATGACAGCGCCATCCAGTCCCGGTCCATGAATGACGAATTATTTGTGATGGAAGGGTTTTTTTTATTTTCGCTGGACCGTGTACTGCATTAAGATGCGCCCAATCTGCACCGTTTTCTGGTATATCCTGAAATGAAAGATTAACTTTTAATTTTTATTACTAATGCAGTAGTATGAGTATAGAAAAATTTTAAAATACTGCTCTACGCTTATTAACATTTATTTTCACCGTTTTTGGGAGTAAATTTATAAAAATGTATTATTCTTGGTATTATAACATAAAAGTACTATTATTTTACTCTTTTACATTGAAAAATAAAAAACAAAACGTAAATAAGGATGGTAATAAAAAATTCATTTTCACTAATTAGTAGATAGAAAACCTATAAAATTTTTTGAGGAGCTAACAATAAAAAAGTGATTTGTAACAAAAAATAGAAAATTTATTTTTCGTCTTGGCAGTACTAATATCCATTTAAAGCATAAAATATTTTGTTCAAAATAATGTTTTATTGATACCTTATTAATGCCAAGAATGTCATTACTTATAATGAAAATTTTATTAATATTAATATCTGTAAGTCAACTCGGATTCTAATTGTTAGCTTCTCAAATGTAACTTAAGTAATTTATAAAAAATAAAAACTAAATTTATAAAAACTATCTTTTGAAAAAAATTGACATTACTGTGACACGAAATTAATTTGTTGAAAATTTTAAACAAATTTTATTTCTAAGATGAGGAAATCAAAATTTTTCGCACAGTCACTTTTTTGTTAAGAAAAAGTTTTTTTGATGTGGAAAAAAAAAACAATTTTAAACAGACAACTTGGAATTTCCATCCAAAATTGTTTTTTCCCTAAATTTAGAAAAGTTTGTTTTCTACAAGAAAGTTACTGTGAGAAAAATTTTAATGTCTTCAGCTAAGAAATAAAATTGTTGAAAATATTTAACAAACTCATTTCTTTTTACAACATTGCTCATTTTTTTCAAAATTTTTCATTTTTTTTTTCCTCAATGTAGTTACTTTACATTATATTAAATAGTATATTGCATTCTACAATTACAATATAAGATTATTTTATATTGAAATTTAAAACAAAGTTTAATTCGATTTGTGTTAAAATTTACATTCAACTCAAAATTGGTTATATAAACTGTTTTAAATTTAATCTTAGATTTAAATGGGTTAATATATTGAAAACAAAGTTGATTTAAATTTCATTTTTATGCTTTTGATGTATAAATTGAAGCGAATGTTTTTGCGTAAATATTTAACAAGATTGATTTCTGATTCGAAATCATTTTACTTGGTAATTTTCGCATATTATTCGTGATAACGTGTTTTTAAGGTTTATTACGATCTATTTAAAACTTCTAACTTATTTATTAATGCTAAATTATTTCTACATTTTTCTTACAAAAAAACAAAATTAGTATGGTTTAATAATTGAAAAAATTTTCATTTTTTTTTTTTTAAATATCTCAAAAGTTCTCAGTTTAATAATAAACTAGTAAAAAAAAATTAATTTTGACTTACTTGAATGTGACAACTGATATGAAAATCATTCCGTCCTTGAAACCGCCAAGATCCATCAATAATTTGAGGAATCGGTTCTAATTCCCATTCAGGATCAGACAATTCCGCATGATACCAGACAAAAATAATCCCGTTAACTTCTCGACAATTCCATGCTTTTGTTTCCATTCGCGATGGATCTAAAAATTTCAAATCTTAATCAGTAATATAAGCTCAGAAAATATCTACACGGAATGAAGAAAAGTGGAAAAATTAAATTCATAAATAGGATTTATTAGAGTTTTAAATAACAGCCAAGTCTTTCTAGTGTGGATCTGTAAAAATTATAATTAATTCTCAGACATATAGCAACTATTACAGTTTCATTTAAAACCTTTTCCAGTTTATAATAGTAAAAAGTTTAAACGTATAAATTTTTTTCTCAAATTTAGTATCTCACACTGTAATTTTTTGTATAAATTCTTTACATTTCGATAACTGAGTGATAGAGTTTGAGAATTACAGGTTGAGCTGTTATAGTTCTCAGTAAATTTATTATTAGTAGCTGATAGTGTAAATTTTATACATTTACTAGAAAATCGAACGCGCTTTGCGCGCTTCTGTCAAAATATCTATTATCGACAATTTAATTGATCAATATTTTAATACATTTTACTCATTAATATTTCTATAGTAACCGTTGCTATGGTAACTGTTGCCAAAGTGGTCACCATAGCAACGAAAAGCGATAACAATGAAAACGTCCCATCAACTTTTTAATAAAGGATTGTACAAATGGGAATTTATACAATTTTATACATTTATTGTATAAATGGGAATTTATACAATGAGAGAAAAAATTCCTTTTAAAAAAAAAACATTCTTGTTACAAGAGTTTGAATTGTTGGTAATTTTAAACATTTTTTTTTTTCAGCTGCAGAAATCACATTTTTCTCGTAGCATTTTTTTCATACAGAAAAAAACAATTTGAAAGAAATCCAACAGGTATTTCATTTTAGGCTTTAAGTTTTTGTATTTGATGACAAAAAATTATTTTTATTTTAATATATTTAATCAATTTTACTAGTATGATATATTAAATATAACTACAAGAGAAATAATCTTTTGTCATTAAAAATTTGAAGTCTTGAATGCTTTTTTTTTTCAAAAGTAATTTTTTTCACTCATTGCACAGTTTCAGTTATTAACTAATATGAATTTCTCAATAAAAAACTATTGAAAAATGAAACAAACTGACAATTTCAAGTTTCATGCAACTAAAAATACAATCGAAACTGTAAAATTTGATATTTTGAATTGTCATTGCATTATTGCAAGATAGAATCTTCACAGAGTAAAGAATATTGTGTAAAATCAATACAATTTTTGTGTTAAATACGGTCGACACGAAATTTTTGTTGAAATTCAATAACAAAATAACACATTTAATATTATTTTAACACAAAAAATTTGTAACACAGACTGTATTTAATACAAAAAAACAATATTTTTTACTGTGTTAATTATTACAGTGTGAAGTGTATAATACTTGCAGTTTTTTCTACAATGGACCTTTTTTTATTCTTAAAACTATAATTTTTCCACTTCTCTTTTTTCCGTATAATTAAACATAAATTACCTGTTTTCGAGTAAGGAATACTTTTACATTTTCCCTCGCCATTAAATGTCCAATGATGAAATGGACATTCGATGCAATCGCCTTTAACTTTACCACCTTCTGCCATATTAGCTCCTAAGTGTGGACAATATGCATCGATGATACTAACTTTACCTTTTTGAGTTCTATTAAATTCATATTTTTATGTAAATATACAAAATTTTCATATTTATAATGAAATTATTTGTGTATTGTAAAAGTTTTCACCTGAACACCGCAAAATTTTCACCAAGCGCGCTAACATGTTTGACTTGACCGTTAGCTAATTCAGAACTTTCAAGAATTCCAAACCATCCGTTTGGATAAACTGGCGGCAAGTCACCAATTTTACGTCTTTTGAAATATTTTCCGCGTTCAATTACGTATTTTGAAGTCTGAAAAACACATATTTTAGTATTTAACCCTGAATTTTTATTATTTTAGTTTGTACACTGAAAGAAATTTTTTTTAAAAATTACCATCAAATTCACGGTACTCGTGGAACGAATGGCACGGCCTCATTATTTTTCAGTAAGTGAAATAATTTTTAAGTTTTTTTCACCAAATTAAATTGTAGCGTACTGAACATTTTATTAGATTTTCCATAAATTTTATCTCGTCATAAAAAAAATGAATTTTTTCGTATTTTTTATTTAATTAAAAAATGGTAATAAATTAAGAGCCGCTTTATGTCCCGCAATTACAGTGAATTTAACGGTAACTTTTAAAGAAAATTTCTTTTTGTACTACAATTCGTTTTTAGTCTCGAAGAAAATATTAAATTTGCTCGGAAAATTAGCAAATTCAGGACAAAACTTGAGGTACTTTTCTATCCGAACAAAAACAGTTTCACTGTAAAAAAATCGCGCCAAGTCCACGTTCATAAGATTATTAAGAAAAAAAAATTGTTTTTTTCTTTACAAAAAGATATAAAATAAAAAAAT